GGGCCAATTTTCTAAGGTAATAGGCTACCTTTTTCTCTCTTTCATGCTTACCCACATATTTGGGCTAAATAAATGGGCTCGAGTTTTGGGGCTCCCAATCAGCCCAAAACTTCCATTTCTTGGCCCATCAATGGGTTTAATGAATGCTTGTAACCGTCCATACCACAACTTACTCAACAAGCCCCAGGCATTCACGTGGCTTGGGCTCACTTAAGCTTGTAGCGTGGCGTGTTGCTTATTTGCTTAGCGTGGCACGTGTGCAAGCGCATATGACAAACTCTTACGTACCCAAGTTGTGTTTTTTCCTAAGTTAGGTGTCGTACTAGGCTAGAAATATATTTGGGCTCAGCCTTGAATTTTTTGGGCCTCAACAAAGATTAATTGCCATTAATGGTGATTTAATCTGGACAAATCAGTTTCTAATTGGTTTAAAAACTAAGCCCAGCTTCTAATCTCTCCAAAGGATCAAAATTTGATCATCACCGTTGATCACAATTTCATAAATCAAGTCAGCAGATTTTTGGGAAGATCTCTCTCTCTCTCTCTCTCTCTACAAGAGCCCACGTGACTCTAAAGTCAAGATTTCAATAGGGCAGATGACGTGATAGGGAGTTGGTAGAAGGTTTAATTCGAAAATAACTCCCCATAACCATTTAATGCCAAGTTTCTTTCCTATGCTCATGAGGGCTTTGCATCAGGGCAAGTGGGGTTTATGAGAGATAAACAAGAGTAAGAGAGTTGGTTGACTGAAGATCAAAACTGATCATCATAAAAACTGACTTTTGATGAGGGTTTTCTTTTGTCAGACTAAACTACTATCCCTTTTTTCACGCTGGAACAAGGAATCCTCTCAACAGATCTATCCTCTAGATATTAAGGATTAAACCCTCATTCAGATTCTCTATAAATATGAGAGGGGTGAACAGGATTGAGGATAGCCAAAAATTCAATCAAAACAAAAACTCTCAAGTCATACTGATAAATTCAAAACAAGATCATACGATCTCAAAAGCCTTCAGACTCTAAAGTAATCAAGCTCTTTGATTTATAAAAGACATCCGGTCTCTGATAGAACAAGCAGACCTCAGGTTTCTGACTTCAATTTAACTTAAAAAAGCAGTTCACAAAGAAAACAAGATTTCTCTCGTTACAAATTTGGTTCAGCATAGGCCAATCAAGCAGAGTTCAGGCTTTTCAGGCTTTTCATAATATAAAAACCTTAACAAATTTAGAGAGATGCCTTGATGCCTGAGAATCATCAGAACAGATCGCAGGTGATCCACAATTAAGCAGAACAGGTGCTGAAGTGCAGTTTCAGACCAGAAATTGTCAATCCAGCCACTTCCAATCCAATCTAATCCAATCCAGACTGAAGAAATCCCAGTTCTGCCCATCCAACAAGGCTCTTTATGGCTAAAATAGATTAAAGGTTTGTCAATCTCAACATTGATATCGATTTCCAACTGAACCTCATCAATTGAAGGTGCTGACGTTTGAATCCAGCACAGACAGCCTGAGTCATAGGCAACAATCCAAGCAGAAATAGATGCCCAATGTTCTGTTGTCCTTTCAAACGTGGCAGTTCCCTTTTGTTTTAAATTGTGTAATAGGAAATTCTCTTTAAAACAGTTTTATTTATTTTTAATATTCATTTAGGCCAGAACTACTAGTTTTTACTGTGAGAAATTGTGAAGTCTTCACCAGTCTGAGACAAGAAAAGAACTTACTTGGGAGATATTCTTCATCCAAATTCACAATCACTTGTTTAAAGTCAATAACTTAGGGTGCAAGTTATCTATTTTTCATAAGTTTGTTAGGGTCTTGACAGCTAACAGTAGCACGTTGGCACACCAAAGAAAGTTGACTTGTTGACCACAAATAGTTTTCAAGTCAATGGGGAATTTTACCTTATCATCACAAGAATTAAATCTAAACGGGTGAACAAAAGTAAATAAGCTCTATAACATTGCAGAACAAACTTGTAAAGTGGTATATAGTAAAATGTAGGTAGTAAATTCATTTGACGGGTAAATTACTCAAATGGTCCTCAAACTTGTACTCGATTTACATTTTGGTCCCTCAATTAAATTATTAGTCCAAATGGTCCATTAACTATATATTAATCTCTCCATTAGTCCTATCGTTACATTCTGTCAATGTTGCTGTTAAATATGAGGGCAAATTGGTCATTTCGTACGTTAAAAAAAAAAAAACACTCTCTCTCTCTCTCTCTTCCCCCATGGCTACCACCCTTAAACTCCAACCCCCAAACCCATCCCACAACCACTCTCCACCCAAACCCATCCAACAACTACCCTCCACCCCAGGCCCCCATGAACCCATAACCCCAGCTCCCCTTCCCTTTTGATTTCCCTTTGTTATTGAGAGACAACCACCCATCACCCTCCTCCCCACCTCATCACCGGCCAACCTCACCTCCCAAAATCACAGCCATTGTCAATTTCTCACCCTCCAAGTGCACTCTCCTCTCCTCCCACCTCACCTCCTCATCTCCCAAACTACCCAAACTCTTTCCCCACACCCACATCTCTATACCCACAACTCTATACACACATCACCCAATAATCCCTCCCTCCACCAAAAGTTCATCCAGAAGCTTTTAGAACCATCATCCTACGTTCAAGAGCCTTCTCCTTCTTCCAATCCACCTGCCAAGTTCACACATTTGGAGCAGCAAGTGGTGGACCTCAATGGAGAGGTCTGTGGGGAATGGGGGAGAAGAAATCCAAGGGAGGGGGTTTAGGTCTCATGATTTTTTTTCTCTTTTTCTTCAATTATTTTCAAATTTTGTATTTATTTTAACCCTATTTTATTTGTTAATTATGAAAAGTCGTATTTACCCTAAAATTTGGTTAAATTTAATAGAAAATTAGACGGTAAGACCAATGGAGCGATTAATATATAGTTAATGGACCATTTGGACTAATAATTTAATTGAGAGACCAAAATGTAAATCGAGTACAAGTTTGTGGACCGTTTGAGTAATTTACCTTTCATTTGACTTGCCAGATTATAATTCAACAAAGTGTTATCTAATTTGGACAATTTTTTTTTTATAATTGCTTGCTAACTTGGAAGTCTCTTTGGAGGGAAAAATGGGGGATTATCTTGCGAAACGCTTTCCCGATGCTAGGATGATAGTTTTTTCGCAGATAAGCTCTGGTTCAGCTATTCCATTAGCAGCTATTTTGTTGCAGATGTTGTCGGATGACCAATCAACAGCATTCAGGCATGGGCTGGTCTTGTTCACTTCCTGGAGCAGTCCAGCAACTAACAAGTACGTATCCTTGATCTACTATAGTCTTCATTTTCCCAATAAAGAAATTTAGTGTGTCCATCTTTCGTAGTGACGCCGCGGAACAAAAAAAGGGAAGAGAAAATCAGTTGCATGGGGAATTATAACTACATGGTTCTCAAATCTGAGAGAAATTAATAGAGAAGCTTCCCAAAGCAGAAGCTGGACTTGGCTAATTGCACCTTCCTCCGTAAACACAACTCAAATATGAAAAGGATGGTGATGCTCTCATTGTCTTGGCAAATCTCCTTGGTCTCCAATTAGATTGGAGAACAGTTGGAGTTGTAATAGACAGACTGAGGTTAGAAACTAAGGATTGCCAAGGCAAGTAGAGTATCCAAATTCATATGAAAAAGCTTCATCGACATGGTAAAAGCTGGATTTTAATGTTTACAACCAAGATGTATATGTTAGTAACACCATCCCATCCCATGTTTTTTTTGTGGACAAATCCCATGTTTTAGTATCTGGATATTGTCTTTCCCATTTTCTCTAAGATAATGTAAAATATCAGAGACCCTATAAAAAGTTATTATTTTATTACTGTGTACACTGTCTACGTGAATGTACTAATAGTGTGTCTTCACTAATCAGTAAAAAGTCAAGGTAAATTATCAATATCGGGGTGGGGGCAGTTGGCTACGCTCATAGCAAAATCATAATTGGACAAGACATGAAACAGCGTTTTGTATTTGCCCATTTGAGAAACAACTCAACATAAAACACTAACAATATCACTTGCCTAACTAAACTACCAATCAAATCATGGGTTCTCTTAGATCCTCAAAGATGACCAAAATAATTATTCCATATTACGCTATATTTCATTTTTGAAAAGAAAGCACCCACCTCAAAGATGCCCAAACTGACCAGTCCGCATAGCAAGGGAGACTGGGCAATGGATTTGAACAGAGTGAGTGAGCCCAACCCAGTTGGGTCCGTGTGCAGACTGGCCCCCATCTCTTTGTACACCCCTGGCAACAACGACTCGTCAGCTCTCTGCGTAATACTTGCTAGGTTCACCAACAACAATTTCACAACCTCTGCTTTCATTTTCCAATGTCTGTTTCAGAGCACTCTGCTCGGTTATCAGAGAAAGACAAATCAGAGGTTTTATGTTTAGGGAACTAAAGGGTATGGCACGAAGGGTACTTTGGAATGATGACCCACGTTGAATGTGGGACCTGGTATGCAAGATTTGGGCTTGTCTGACACGTGTAGGGTTGGGATTGGTGTGATTAGGCGTGGGGTGAATGGATGGAGAGTTGGGGATAAAAGATTTGGCCAGTCGGTTAGTTGATTCTTCTTGTCTTTGATGGAACTCTACACAGACGGGGTAGAGGGATCTTTTCCATCGGCTTATGATGCCGTCTCCAACCTTATGCAGTGAAGCTAGTTATTAGTTAATTTATTATTATGTCACAGGCCAGCTTGCTACTTTTGGAACCTTCTAAAATTCTAAATTAGACATGGCCATGTTGAACCATATATACAAGGAAAAACAATCACAATTTCATCGGTTTTGCAGGAAAGGGGGAATATTCCAATGCTGTAACTGGGGAGGACAGCTCACCAATGTTCATGCCTGAGGAACTGTAGCCTAAGGAAAGCCTCTTGATTCCTCATAAATTGTCAATGAAAACCAATTCCAAGCTAGCCACCTAAATAAGTCAAATGTAGCACAATGGAAGATGGTCCAACCTTAGTTTCAGGCTGGGCATGGCTTCCAAGCAACATTCTGGATTTGATTCTAGAAAAGTTGATCCCAATTTCTGACTATATCCGATTTAGTGCAGTTTGCAAGCATTGGCAATCAGTCGCTTTACATCGCAAGAAGCAGCCCATCAAATCATGTCACAAGCAGATTCCTATGCTCATAATTCCCACCATAGACGGTAGCAGCGAAAGGCGTGGCTTGTATAGTGTGACACAAGGTAAGACTTGTAGCTTTGAGTTGAATGTGTATTACAGTAAGAGGTTCTGTGGTTCTTCCCATGGTTGGTTGGCTTGTGTGGATGAGAATCTGGTAGTAACCCTCTTAAACCCTTTTACCGGGTGTACCATTAGCCTTCCACCAGTCCCCAAATCCACTTGGAGATCGACGGTAGCTTATAGATGTGATTACTACATTAATAAAGTTGTATTGTCTGCAGACCCTTCTTTTCTTCCTAATGACTATGAAGTATTGGTCATCTATGATGGCTATGGGAAACATATAGCCCATTTTAAATCAGGGGATGATGCTTGGACTAGCATAGATCAAATGATCGGATTCGATGATGTAATTTATTATAAAGGCCAGTTTCTAGGTGTTAGTTTGGGTGGTAGTGTTTTTTTCGATGAATGTTAGCAGGGATCAAACTACTAAACCCCATGTAAGCTTACTTGTGCCAATGGATCCAGGCACAGACAATAAAACATACCTTGTGCAATCATCCAAGGGAGATCTTTTGCTGGTTTAGGAAGTTCAAACGAGTAAATTATTGTAAGCGGTTTATGAAGTCTCTCAACTTCAAGTTTTTCAAGTTTGAAAGGTTAAATTTTGAACAAGTAAATGGTTATGATCGTTTTACGGAGACTTGAGCTTCAAGGTTTTCAAGCTGTTCTGTGCTCATGGGGAGAGACCCCAATGGGTTGAGATTGAAAGTATTGGAAATGAAGCTCTGTTTTGGGTACCAATCAATCCATGTGTGTCTCTGCTCTGGAATTTCCAGGTTGTCAGCCAAATTCCATATACTTCACTGATGATTGTGTGGATGTAGAATGCCATAAACCTAAAGGGGCCTCATGACATGGGTATCTTCAACTTGGAAAACAAAAGCATGGGAACACATTACTGCTTGGATCGTTCGCAGAAGCACATGCCACCAGCAATTTGGATCTTGCCCTCTATGGTGTGAAAAGATGGTTCCAGTTTTGTTCTTTCAAGCTCTATTTTCATTTGTTTGTCATTCTAAATGTAAGCTCCAACTCTCTTATAAGACATTGAGCTTCCAACTCTGATAAGGACCTTGAACTAATATAAATTATAATGAACAGCTCTTGAGATGGCTCATGGAAGTTTAATGTGATTGTTAAAAAAAAAAAAAAAAAAAAAAAAAAAAAAAAAAAAAAAAAAAAAAAAAAAAAAAAAAAAAAAAAAAAAAAAAAAAAAAAAAAAAAAAAAAAAAAAAAAAAAAAAAAAAAAAAAAAAAAAAAAAAAAAAAAAAAAAAAAAAAAAAAAAAAAAAAAAAAAAAAAAAAAAAAAAAAAAAAAAAAAAAAAAAAAAAAAAAAAAAAAAAAAAAAAAAAAAAAAAAAAAAAAAAAAAAAAAAAAAAAAAAAAAAAAAAAAAAAAAAAAAAAAAAAAAAAAAAAAAAAAAAAAAAAAAAAAAAAAAAAAAAAAAAAAAAAAAAAAAAAAAAAAAAAAAAAAAAAAAAAAAAAAAAAAAAAAAAAAAAAAAAAAAAAAAAAAAAAAAAAAAAAAAAAAAGATCAAATTGGTATAATGCTCATCTGATTTGGTTGTAATTACTTATTTATGTTTCTGTGATTTGTTTATAGTGTTTGTCAACTTTGTGAGATTCTTTTGGGGTTAACTACAATTTTTGTGATTCTTTAACCATAAACTGAGCAAGCTGCGAAATTGTGAGTTGGAAGCACAAGGAAGGCTTGTAAAAATTGAAATGGTGTTGGAGCTCATATTGCTGTAAAGCCTTTTGTATGTGCTAGATGATGTGTGCAGCATGTTGATCATGTTGGTGCTCTGGCCTTTTTTATATAATTATTTTCAATAATTTTTTTAAGATAGAGCTATATCAACTAATCTAGGGTGGCGGTGGGAGGCGCACACAAGGGATTCAAACTGGTCCCATGGGGTTTTGCAAATAAACCACCTCTACCACTGAGGTAATCACACTGGTTGGCTGGTGCTCTAGTTTTTTTCTATAACTCTTGCTCTGTTTTAGCTTTTAGTGTCGGATGATGAAATATTTAGCACTTGTAGTTATTAGGACAACCACCTCAAAATTTGAGTTATTCATGATAACTATTTATGAGGTTAGGACTCAAACTTGAGTATTGTGTGATGTTTTATGATAACAGTTTATTGAATATATGACATTAATTTTTATGACTACCGAGTTTTTTCGGTCATATTTTGGAATTTTGTATGTAATCATGGTTTCACATATTTGAGTTCACGGTAATCATTGGATCAATAAAATAAGAGTGTTAGGCTATAGAACATTAACTAGTTGTTTGGTTTGTTTAGAAACAAAGTTGAGTTTTTGTTATAATTATGTATATTTATAAGTAAAAATTAGATTTTTGAAATTTAAGACGAAGAGAAATGTAACAATGAGTTTGTAGCAAATTTTAGATTTTTAATTTATTTATTATGAATTTTAAAATTTAAATTGCTGAAAAATAATAATAAATATATTTATTACGCATATGGTAAGGCTACAGTGGTTTAAATAATTAAAATAATTAACATAAGGTTAAAGTGAGGTGTATTCATTTACGGTAAAAGTCGTAACTTATAATTTTATTTGATATTATTAAATTGTAACTTATAAGTTTAGTTGATTTGCCTCGTACTCCTATGGTAAAGCTTTTTCATTATCCTTAATTCCACGCTCTTCTTCTATCGTCATTGTTATGATTCTCAGAAAACCATAATACAACCAGAACTCAGATGCAAATGAAAGACCAGAAATTGAAAACAAATCCAGCAAACAGAAATTCAGTGTAGAGTAGTCCCTCACTTTTTACATAAATAATTTTTGAGAAAGTCTTTATCAAATTAAATTATTATTCCCTCTATTTTTTGAAAGAGAAAAATAAATCAGTTTGGAATGTCATGGAAGAGGAGAGGGATTTCTAGATCTCCACCTTTAAGGATGAGTCATGGGAGCACAGATGCACTTTTTGACTCTTGTTCTCATTTTCCCCTCATTTATTTCTCTCTGTCTTCGCCACTTTCTCCGATTTCCTTTTTTTCTTTGAATTTCAGTTCCTCCCACGAAAGCCCAACTCTTCAATTCCTGAAATAGAAAAATAAATCATCTTAATATGATTACGAGACTGGCTGTTGATTTGGTTTTGGGTTATGGGAAAAAAATGAGAGACGTGGAGTAGATGAGAGAGGAGGAGAAGAGAGAGAAAGAGAAGGGGAAAGGGTGTTGATCTGGGTTTGGGTTATGGGGGAGAATTGGAGATATGGATTTGAATGGTGGAGAGAGAGGAGGACAAGAGAACAAGGCAGATACCAGAGAGAGAGAGAGGAATTGGACGGGTCTCAATCTCAGTCGGGTGGATTGGGTTTTATTTTACCCGTTTCTACGTGGAACCTTTTTTAAACCTACGTTTAATCTCAGTCGTTCAAGTTCATCTAACAGCTGAATTTTGTGTCCGCATTTATTGATATAGCGAATCTCTCTTTTCTACTGCATCTGAGCCCAAACCACACAAAATGGAATTTTATTGTTGTTCAACCTTCTCTCCTCCATTCCATGTATTTTGACATTCAAACCCATCATTTATATCTTGTCCAAAAACAAAAAAACTATCATTTATCAATTCCACCTGACATTAAATTAAATTGTGTGTTACTGAAATGCCTTTCCCAATATGCATATGATTGATTGCTCCCTTGAATCAATTCCACATATGTTATTTTGATTAAGCATATACCAAAATAAGGCCATTATGGCATTAGTTGCAACAGAACTCTTCATAGGCAAATTTGTAAGCATGCTTGAGAGCGAAGCAGCATCCATAGCGGGCTTTCGTGATCAAGTTGATGAGATTAAGAGGGAGCTGGTGATCATGAAATCCTTCTTGGAGGATGCTGATGGTGGCAAGAAAGCACACACAGAAGTAAAGAAAGCGCAGGTCGCAAGCATTCGAGACTTGGCCAATGATGTCGAAAACATCATTGATGAATTCATGTATCACATGTACAAGCAACAAAGGGGCAGTCGATGTCCAAAGTGGCTCCTCAAAACCATTCATTTTCCAAAGCACCTTTGGTATAAGCGCCAAATAGCAAAGAAGTTACAAAAAATTGCCGGAACAATTAGAGCTATTCCAGAGAGAAATGAGAGATATGGTGGTGCTGCAGCCATAGAAGAAAAAAGTACTTCTGAGTATATTTGCAGATGGGTACAGAACCAAGCGGAGTCTTCTCTTACCATAAGGAGAATGAACTCGTCGGGATTGAAGGCGATAAGAAATATTGATGGGATGGCTGATGAACAAAGAGCAACACCAAACTGTTGTCTCTGTGTGGTAGGGATGGGAGGATATAAGGGAAGACAACTCTAGTTGCAAGGACTTTCACCAACGAGGTTGTCAAGAAACATTTTGAATGTTACGCCTGGATTACTGTTTCCCAATCTTATGTGATTGAAGACTTACTTAGAAGATTGATCAAAGAATTCCACAAAGCGAGGGAGGAGGTCTCTGCAGACATGAATGCCATGTGCTATATCGAATTGGTTGAGATTTTGGTTAACTACTTGGAGACTAAAAGGTACCTTGACGTGTGGGATATCCTTCTTTGGGAAAGAATAAGGCTTTCATTTCCAGATAAACAACTTGGAAGTCGAGTCATGCTTACAACTCGAAGAGAGGACATAGGATCGTATTCTTTTGGAGTTGAAAGCCATGTTCACAAGATTCAACCACTGGAAAGGAGAGAGCTTGGGAGCTCTTCAGCATGAAAGCATTCTCAAGTTATCATAACAAATCTTGTTCACCGGAAGGAACTTGTGGAAAAGTTTGAAGGTCTGCCTCTTGAAATCGTAGCCTTAAGTGAGTCTACAATAGCTTTTTTTTGGGTCTGAAATTCTACAATAGCTTAAATTGGCATCTAACAAACAATTCTTTGTTAGAACCTATGAAGAGCATCTTGTTGCTTAGTTTCAAGGATTTGCCATATAGATTGAAGTAATGCTTTCTATATTGTTCCCTTTTCCCAGAAGATGAGGTGATCATAAATAGAAGGCTCATTAGATTGTGGATAACCGAATGATTTGTTGAACATGTCAAAGGGGTAACACCAGAAGAAGTTGCAAACAACTATGTTATGGAACTCATTTTTCATAAAGGAAGACTTCTCTAAATCTTTACAGCCAAAAAATCAATCAAAACAAAAACTCTCAAAGTCACAATTGACAAACTCAAAAAGATCACTTGATCTCAAAAGCATTCAAACACTGAAGCACAAAAGCTCATTGAGCCACAAGAAACAAGTCAGCCATAATTCAAAACCTCTGATTTTTAGTTCAGTTTAGAGAAATAGTTCTACAAAGCGAGATTTCTCTCGTTACAAATTTGGTTCAGCATAAAGCCAAATCAAGCAGAGTCAGGATTTTTCACAAATATGAAAATCTCAGCAAATTTACAGAAAGCCTTGGTCAAGCAGAACATGCACCATAGCGCAGCTCCAGCTTAGTGATCATCAATCCATCCACTTTTGCCTTCTCCAGATTGAAGAGACCTCAATTATGCCTGTTCAGCAATCTTTCCATGGCCCAAAATAAATTGAAGCTTTGCCAAACTCAAACGTTGGTATTGATTTCCAACTGAAACTCATCAGTTGAAGGTGTTGACGATCCAATCCAGCACAGACACATCTAATCTAGCTCGGTTCAGAAGCAGTTATCCAGGCAGAAATCAAAGTCCAACATCCTGTTGTCTTGTTTCAGAGTTGTCATTTCATTTTTGAGTCCTGTGATAGGCAGTTTTGCCTAAAACAGTTTACTTTCTTTTTATCTATTCTGGCCAGAACCACCAATGTTGTACTGTGAAAAATTGTGAAGTCCTCACCAGTCTGAGGCAAGAAAAGAACTTACTTGGGAGATATTCCTCACCCAAATTCACAATCGCTTGTTTAGAAATCAATAACTTGGGGCGCAAGTTATCTATTTTTAAGAAGTTTGCTAAGGTTTTTATTGCTAGCAGTGGCACGCTCATGTATTAAAGAAAGTTGACTTGTTGACCACCAATGGTTTTCAATCCAATGGGGAACTTTACCATACCATCACAGAATTAAGATCAAAACCGGTGAACAATGCTACAGGAAAGGTATCTACTCTACCTATCAGCATGTAAGATGCACGATCTTATTCGGGAGATTGCTCTGTCTATAGCAGAAAAAGAAAAGTTTTGTGTCGTTCTTGATGGGAGTGAAACAAGGGAAGAAACTGGGGGCCCTTCGTTTGTGAATTCAAACAACTATTGGAGAAATGGGACCATGCACATGTATGTCACAGCTTCGTTCTTTTTTTGTCTTTGCCACTGGCGTATCCTCATTCTCTTTCTCAAAGAAATTGCCTTTTGACTCTACATTGTTGAGGGTTTTAGATTTGGAGGGTGTCCCCAATTGATCGTCTGCCAAATGAACTAACGTACTTGTTTAATTTAAAATATTTGAATTTGAGAAACACTCGAATTAAGGAGCTTCCAGAATCCATAAGATGGCTCCGCAACCTTCAGACCTTGGACCTCTCGTGGACAGATATAGAGGCACTTCCAATAGGGATTTCCAAGTTGCTAAACCTGCAGCATCTTGTTATAGGATTCCAAAAGTGGTTCAAAGGTAGTTGGGGTAAAAATACCATCAAGTATTAGTAAGATGAAGAAATTGCGGTCTTTGCGATGTATTGAGTCAGAAGGAAGCATTATTAGACTTATTGGAAATGTGACCCAGCTGACGTCCCTTGCCATTTCAAATGCGAAAGAAAGAGACGAGAAGGACCTATGCGCCTCAATTCAAGAGATGAAGGTCCTTTCCCACTTGTATTTATCGGTAGCAGATGGAGAGGAATTTCTTCGAGTTGATGCATTGTCTTCACCGTCATCCTACCTTGATAGACTTGACTTGATAGGCAAACTGGAAAAAGTACCAGATTGGTTTTGTTCACTCTGGTGTCTCACATATTTGCATATGCATGGGTCCAGACTTGATGAAGAAGATTTACTACCTCATATTGAAGCATTGCCCTCTCTACTTTCACTTTGTCTTAAAGATTCCTATGTTGGGAAAGAGTTGTGTTTCAGTAGAGGCTGTGAAGCTTAGGTTTTTGGATTTGAGGAATCTCTCATTATTAAATAAGATGACTATAGAAAAAGGGGTGATGCCAAATCTGGAGTTCTTAGGCATTTATAGGTTCTTGGGATTAGTGACATTGCCACAGGGTGTTGAGCACCTTACTAAACTACAAGGATACACATTTGAATGTGTTTCAGAGCAATTTGCAGAGTCCATACGAGAAGGAGGTATGCAAGGATGCTACTCGTTGATGAGAGATGTAACAAATATACGTAAGTATCTTCTATCGTTGCACTGACTTTCTTAAACTTCAATTATTTGGATCTGTCACTTCAGCAATAATATTCGAGTTTGCATCTGTCACTTCAGCAACTGGCAGTTGCTCTGTATCTCGATGATTAGTTTCTAAGATTTGGGCCATGGGATCTTTAATGTTCTGTGTGTTTGTACTCCTTTTTATGTTAATTGTGTTGGTAATTTCATATTGGCTAATAATATAGAAGAGTTGCTTAGTTTACAGAACTCCATGAGGTTTGTTGAGGCCCAAAAAATCCACGGTCGGGCCCGAATAAATTATCAGCTCAAAATGACACTCTATCAAGGAAAGGCGTAAAGCAGAGTACACAAAAACCCGCCACATGCAAGTTGCAATCCTTATGCCATGCTAAATAAATAATTCGTCATGCTAGAATATATCGGCCCTACAAATCCATGCTAATTATCCCATCAAGCATAATAATTAAAAGCATGCCAAGCGATGTGCCATGCCAAGCGACATGCCATGCCATGCCAAGCAGGAAATCATTATTACACACCCAATCACGCTACAAGCCTAAGTGGGCCCAAGCCACTCGAATGCCTGGGGCTTGCTTGAGTGGGTTGTGGTATGGATGATAATAAATCAACATGAGGCCCATTGATGGGCCCAAACATGTGGGTGAGCACAAGAGGAAAAGAAATAGCCCAAATAGCCCAAATAACCCAAATAGCCCCAAATAGCCTATGACTCAAAAGCCCAATATTTAAAAAAATAGCCCACTTATTTAATGAGCCACCTTGGCCCATGCAAAGCTTCACAATAAGCCCACAAAAGCCTCAGCCCTTTGCTGGAAAAATAGAAGCCACGTAGAGAAGGTCTGCAGGTTCATTAAACAAAGCCGCTGGAGGTTCCAGACATGGGGGGAGCAAGTTCCAAGCAAGAAACATTCAAGGAACCAAAGAATATTAGCATGCGAGCTGCCAGAAACACCCTTCGAACCAGCATATATTTCCCAACTCCTTTTCCCATCAGACTTGGCCATGGAAAAGAGAGAAGAAAGCAATAAAAGAAATGGCTGGGCATGGAAATCTGTCACTGAGACAGCTGCAGGAAAATGGGGCCTTGAGCTCCTAAAGTTCCTGATTTTGTGCTAATAGACAGAGGAAATTTCACCAAGATAGGAAAAGCCAAGGGAGGAGAAGAGAAAGGAAGGGAAAAGCTTAGCCAAAATGGGTAGAAACTATTAGGGTTTCTTGGGAAGGGATGATTTTAAAATGAGGCCTCTTCTACCCAACAAAAACAACCAGCAAGAACTCCACGCCTGGAGAGCAAGCTTTCTCTCTAACTTGCAAAGTCTCGTGCACTGTTCACCATCTTCTCCATTCTCCTCTTCTGGCAAACAGAGTATCTGTCAAGCTGCCAGAAGAGCATTGTTCTTCATTTCTCTCTTCCTAGCCAAATCTCCTACAAAATCTCTCTTTTCTCACCTTAACACTTCCCTTTTTCCCTCTAAGAAAGCCTAAATTTCCTCTAGTGCTAAACTCATGTTGATTTTGCTCCCATGCCACATGCCTCTCATGCCAAGCTTAAAATTTTATCTGTAAGCATGCATAAATTATCTGTAAGCTGCCATTATTTTGGTTGGTGAAGGTAACCAAAATACTTCCTAGGGCTCTACTGCCCTTTCGAGGTATTTTGGGGCTTAATTTTCGAACTCAGGCAAAGGGGACAATTTCATCAGTTTGCCCTTTTACAGCAGCCCAGCCCATTTGCAGCTGCTGGAGGAAAAAGTCCCCTACAAGGTTAAAAAAGTCCAAGAACATTTTAAACAGGGTGCTACTATTTCCATCCCTCTACCCTATTCCCTACTCAATTTATCTTCAAAAATTTAAAGATAAATTTACCCATTTATAAAATGACTTCTAAGGAAAAAGGAAAAACTCATCAGTTGCTCTTATGACTCTCTCCTTAGAAACTCTCTAGTGAACCCCCTTCAATTCTTTGAGAAGTTAAACTTATTATCATGATATCGCGATAATATCAATAATATAGAGATGATGAAGATAGTGAAAATTTTGAACCTCATATGGACTCTAGTGATACTAAGTCACTCATGTATGATGTATCTACCATGCAATGTATAAAGCGTAAATATTGTAGTAAATCATTATAAATAAATGATTATGGTGTGTTTCATCTTCTTTCATTAATTATTATATATTTTCTACACTCGTATCTCACTATATAATCAACTTAAATCAGTTAAAACCCCATCATACAATGCATTTCCTTTCAATTTTTGGGATAAACTGATAGATAATTGACTAAATAAACATTCTCTAATGTTTCAACATGACAACGCTCATATTCATGTTGTGGATAACAACATGACAATTTTGAAAGCGCGTTTTGGAAACCTAATCGACAGAGCTCATAAGGGGATGTCAAAGAATAAAAGGGTAGTAGTTCTACCGTGTCCTTAGAGGTCAAATGAGTTTTCGAAAGCTATCAAATAAGTTTGAAAAACATAACATATACATTGTTTACACCATAATCAACCGAGCATATCCAGCCTCAAAGCAACTAGCACCAAAGGCAGACACGCCTTCTCCCATGCCGAAGGAAGACACTCTTCCGAGGTGCCAAACACCTACCGAAGCTCCTACTGCCAAAGCTCCCAAATTGCCAAAACCACTCTCCATGACAAGTGTCACCACCGCAACGACTTGCACAAAGTCCCACATCGGAAATCTATACCAACCTTCACTTTCACTCCCCTATAAATAAGGAACAATACCCCTAGTAAAAAGAGTAACTACTTCTTACCTTTTACTACTACTCTACCAAAGTTACTACTCTTAGCTGACTTAAGCATCGGAGAGCCTTCGGCCGGCACCACACGGTGTCCGAAGCTTAACGACTGCGTCCCTTATTTTTGTCCTCTGTAGGCTAGCCTTTATTGAAGGTCTAGACCCATTTTCTGTTGAAGGCAAATCCCCATTTTTCTCTAAGTTGACCATCTCCGAAATAGAGCATCAACATACATCAATGTCAAAGACTTGCCATTAAATGTATGAGACTTTTAATGACATCAAGGTACACAACATTTATTGCCCCATGTTGAATTTTTTTGTAGTTTTGGCAACCGTTTATATGTGAAGGTTAGGAAGTGGAGACTATATATACAATCACATCATATGGAGTACTCATTATTAATATTACATTAATTGGACGGATTTGTCTTATTGCGAAATGTGATTGACTAGTCGTGTGGAGAAGTTATAGAGTGATACAATATCACCACGTTAGCTAGTGATATTACCACTCTATAATTGTCACGTGTCCTATGACCTATAATTTCTCTTCATATAGCATTCATTCCTATTGGTCATGCTTAACAACGTTTCTAAACAATAATTGATAATATCTCTATGTGGTGCATCTAGAGTAATTTTTGGGTGTTTCGGAGTATACCAAATGGCTAGTGTACCATCCAATAAATGTAGGACATGTGGAACTTTATTATTGCTCAACCTTTTCTCGTCTATTCCATGTATTAAAATCTTCATACCAATTATTTATAAGTAAACATGTCACTAAATTTGTGTTACTAAAATGTTTTTCGAATATGCATATGATTGTGTGAAGGGGTTAAAACGTATTTGGGTTAGTTTAGGACAAGAGTATAGAGTTACAATAGGAGGGTTTTTAAAATAGAAACAGAGAGATTTGATCAGAATGGAGAGAGAACCAGGCAACATTTATGTGTGTTTGTTGCTTGCACTATCATCTTCATTTGCGTTTGTCGCTATTCTACCATGTTAATATCTGGGATATTTGTTACTTGGGAAAGATATTTTCGTTCAATTCGCAGCTTTAATGGTCATAATATCGCGATATTATCGATAATATCGCAACTTGAACTTTCAAAAATTAAACGATTTAAACTCAACGTACACAGTGGGCTTCAAACCTCTCCCAACTCCGAATTTTTGCAGCCACTTAACCACCCACGTCAGCCATCACTTTGTGATAATAAGCTATGGAATATGTATTTATAATACATGCGAGCTGTTTCTCAAAATAGAAATTAACATAATTACTTATTGTTTTATATTGTTGATCAGTTAATTAATTACTTAATATAATTTATTTCTTTTCTATTTAATCCATTTAATGTTATTGATTATTTTATTATTCATTATAAGTACTTACATTACTAAATTCCCCTTCAAATTGTTGCTTAATTACTTAAATCTCTATAATTATTTTCTTTGTTTACTACTTAATTCTTTCTTTGATAAATTTATTTATGTTCTTAGTTAATTTTCAATCTTCACTATTATTTTTTAAGTATGGTAAAGTGCCTAATTTTCATGAAAAGTCAAGTTGGTTTAATTATTTTTCAATTTTTGATAAATAATAAATATAAGAACGTGTACCCATGTCCAATGAATAATAAGGTTACACATGTATCTTACCATGCAATTTATAAAGTGTAAAATATTGTACTAAAAAATGATAAATAAATTACTATGGGGTGTTTAATTCTCTTCATTAATTACTCCATATTTTCTAAGTCACAGAGTTTGTCAGCTCGCAATATAATCAACTTAAATCACTCAAACCCACTATGCAATGCATTTCCTTCCAATTTTTTTGTGTCAAAATAATAGATGATTGACTAAATAAACTTCTTCTAAAGTTTCATTAAAAATTTCCATGTATTTATCACAATTTCCGTGGTTTTTTATCTAATTTTTATCGATATCGATATTTTCCCGATATTTCCATGTTTTTGAACCACCGATATTCCGAAACTATCGATATTTAAGACCTCGGTAGTAGGTAGGGATTAATATCTCCGATATTTGCTACTCCAAGCCCACTCGAAAGACATTCGTCATCAGTATTTGACTTTTAATTTTCCTAGAATTTTGTAGATTATTATAGGCAATGAACACTTTTAACAGAGTGACTGCTCCCTAGATATGTTATTTTGATCATCATGCTAGCATATACGGGTGTAGTGTTTGGTGTGGAAGAGGCATCAAGAGATTGCATAGGTATCGGGTTGAAGTGGTGAGCGAGTGGACTGGTCCGAAACAGTGGGCCGAATATGAGCAGGTCCATTAGGTGTAGAGAGTATATCTGGGCTCATCAACATAACTGGGTGGGTTAGACGAATTGGGCTTAACAACTGGTGTTTGACTACACCTTGGGTTCATCGGCAGGTGGTGTTAAATTGGGCTCAGTCTGTGTTGACGATGGGCTTGGTGCAGGTAGTGGTGGAAATTGATTAATGTGGTGGATCCAGTGGAGTTGGGCCGTGGACTGTGCTGGTCCTAGTATGGAAAATTGGTCACATCAAAGGTCACATGCGAGAAATATAAAACCCTATCTGAAATCAAATCTAAACAACGCTAACCTTTGTAGTGATCGTCATATCCAACAATACAATTAATGATTTAAATGATAATTTGTTGGTGTTGTAAGGCCATCCCCAATGGGTTGGGGCTCTAAAAGGGGTTTATAGAGCCTCATTTAGAGCTCCGATGGAATCTTTGGGGCTTCTAAAAGCATCTCTCCCACAGTGAGAGACTCTATATTCGGGGGCTCTATACTAGGAGTTTAATATTGTTTTTAATGATGTAATTTAATTTAGGTGCTATTTTTGTTTTTTATTAATTTATTTATGTTAGTTTTTTGTGTGTGAACATTTCAACCTAAAAAAATAAAAAATTGGACAAGATTTGAAAAAAATGTTATAAAAAATTAAACCAGCCATTTAGAAACTGAGGGTGTGTAGTCTGAGTCAACTTTATCAACAAAAAAAAACCAAAACAATGAGACAAGCTGTTGCAATTGGCCCAATTGATTAAAAAAACAGAAAAAGTAGTCAGCAACTATCACAATGGGCGAGTATGACGCTGTTGAGTCGCAAGGCGCAAGGTGAGCCAAAAAATTGTTGGGCTGGCAGCTTTTTCCAAATGTGGTCCCCACCGAGTTCAAGGGCTGCAACCAAGTACACAGATTTAGCTTCAGCTCCGGTTTGGCTCTACCATTAGAGTCCCAAATTTATACCATTGGGGAGGGTTTTTTTCACAGAGTTCTTATTTATTAGAAAAGGTGGTGCAGCCCATTTTAGAGCCCCCCATTGAGGATGGCCTAAAGAACTATACGAGAGAGAACAGACACATCCAAAACTTTAAGAAATCGTAATCAGGGAGACATTGAAAAAGCTTCTCTACAGTGACATGTGTCCAAATGTAGAGGAGGCAATCTAATGATGTGAAAAAGCTTCTAACCAAAGAAGGAAGCTGGGCAAGAAGATCACGGGAATTGTCTTGAGTGCTGCATTGTATCCCTCCATAGACGGACTGGATAAACTAGAAAAATAAGTTCATTTCCTTCATTAGTCTGAGTGTTCTCCTCAGCCCCAGAAAAACAACAATCCATCAATCAATAAACCTTAAAAAAATTAACCAATCTAAAAATTAGTCACAAAAAAGAAACATGAATTGGTAACTGTTAATTAAAAAGTTCCTCTTAACCTTTGGTCTTCACTCAATTTGCAAATAACACAATAATCCCTGCCTTTCAAATCCACAAGGGGCCTAAGACTCTCAGTCAGATTTTGCATCATGATGGCATATGTATAGAGAATTTATTCAATAATGGATATTTCTTTAAAGAATAATCTATCGAATCTCATAATATGGAGAGATAATTATTTTCCAAAAGCCACAAGAGACCTCAATTCTGGAATTCCTCAACAGCTCCTTCACCCAGCACATCATGGCCAAAAGCTCCTCAAAAGCTAGTCATCGCCAAAACCAAAAAGTTCCAGCCATCTGTATAAACAGAAACCAAAGGGCATAAAAGTAAGACAATTTGTAACAGATATAAGTGAAAACAATAACCTATTACAACTAGCCAACATGCTAATCTAATGCAAACACAGAAAAAAGACAGATCTAATGCTGTGAGATAAATCAGCTGTGAAATGAAGCAGTTTGGCGTTTGGTAAACTTTTTGTGAAAAGTGATGTTGGTACAATAATCAGTTTCTGAGTGTTGGTAAATTTTTGTGTGAAAGTGTTGTAAGCTTTATATAATGATTAAAAAGGATTCGATGTTGAAATTATTTTTGTTATTTAAGTGTTTGGTGATATTAAATAAATAAATAAATAAAAAAACCTGTCTCACTTTTACTTTTGCCAAAACATTCTCACTTTCAATATACAAAATCTTTTATTAAATTTTTTTTTTGTTGAGAGATACCCAAAATAACATTTTTAAAAAAAAAAAAAAAAAAGAAAAAGAAAGTTTAAAACAGGACCCTCTCTGCACCCCTCTCCCTCCCAGCCCCACCCCGACCCACCCTCCACAGATCCACCTTAGCTTAAGAATGAACACCCTGAAAAGCTCCACATAGTCTACAATGTCAATCCAAGATCCAATACAAGGAGAGTATTCTGCCAGACCAACAGAGGTTGATCTTTGCTCGCAAGACGCTCCAGGATGGATGCAAACTAGCTGAGTATAGCATCCAAAATAATCCACTCTCCACCAAGTGCTTTGATTCGTGGCAGATAAAGAGAGGTGTGCCTTTCTTTGGCTGATTGAAGTTTAGGGACGAAAACCCTCTATTGCTCTATCAAATTATTCAAAGATTTTAATTTGCTTGGTCAATGAAAATGGGAGGAATTGGAATGAGTTGCTTTATGAAATGTTTCTGGGAGGTTTTCACTTTTGAAATGTTATGAAAAGAATGAGACGTCTTTGGTGGGAAGAAGATGAGGAATAGTTGGAACGTGCTGGTCTGGAAGAAGATGAGGGATAAATGATGTAAATTAGAAAAGTTAACAAGGATAGTATAGGCATTTCATTAGAATTCATCAGACCACCGGTCCGTGTTTTGCTTTCCGCAAAAGCTGAAATAAAATCAGCCGTGAGGTGCTTTCCAAAATCACGGTGATCAATAGCTATTTTCTCCAAAGTGATTATCTCGTCTTTAACAATCGGGTGTAAACTTCAAAAACTTTATCAAAAATCACCTTTAAGCTATTGCTTAGCTATTGGTTTTGGATTTTTTAGGACCCTAGAAAGAAAAATTTCCAGCAATGTATAGGTTTGTTGTGTTGTAGCTATTACGTAATTCGTTTCTTTGTTAGAATATATAGTTTCATTTCTGAGTTATTTTGATTCCTATTCAAGTGAGTGTTTTTTTCTTGGACGAAAAGGCTTCATTGAAAACAAAAGGAGTACAATCAGCCTAACACTGAAGAGAAGAAAGACAACCAAGAAAAAAGCTTAAACTCGCAGAGTCTAGAAACCAAATAATTCCCCACCATAAACAAAACACTAAACTCAGAATTTGACAATTTTTTGTTGTATGCCGAAATCAAGTTTCATTAATATAAAGGCATGGCAATTACATGATATGGAACTCATAAAAATGAGTCCAAACAAATGCATAGTAAAAGCCCACTAGAAATAAAACTCAAACATGCCAAAGCCAAAGCCCAATTGACATAAAGTTAGAGTCCAAAACTGGCATAAAGTTAGAGCCAACCAAAGCAGAAACCACCACCAAAAGCTATAGTACCATTGTCGCTGCCTCATGAAGATCGATATATCACCAAGGATAATGATGAGTGAAAGAATTGCACACACACAAAAAAAATACAAAAATTACAAATATTAAAATATCTCGCAACAACCTAAACCAACCATCGAAGACTCATTAACTCCTTTAAAAAACAAAGAACAAACTTGGGAAAACAACTTCCCAAACCCAGAGAAACTAGGCAATATACTTATTGCGAATGTAAACAACACTTTTTTTATATATATATATATATAATGAGATTATCGTTTTATCAGTCCCTAAACTTTGACCGATTTCATTTGAGTACCTCAATTTCCAAAAGGGTTCCCGTGTCCTTTAACTTTAGTTTCATTTGGACAAATGGTATGCGTCAATTTTGTTAACTTTTTTTTGGTTAAAGGGGGGCAAAATGTATTTTATATTAAAACAAAAAATGAATTAAAAAAATTCCATCTTACAATAAAATAAAGACACTCAAATAAAAAACCAAAAAAAACAAAAAAGTTTGGGGGGCGTAGAAATCAATATAGGGGGCGAGAGAGTTAATTTTTTTTTTACATTTTAATTTTTATTCATATTTCTATCTATCATTTGAAAAAAAAAAAAAAAAAAAAAAAAAAAAAAAAAAAAAAAAAAAAAAAAAAAAAAAAAAAAAAAAAAAAAAAAAAAAAAAAAAAAAAAAAAAAAAAAAAAAAAAAAAAAAAAAAAAAAAAAAAAAAAAAAAAAAAAAAAAAAAAAAAAAAAAAAAAAAAAAAAAAAAAAAAAAAAAAAAAAAAAAAAAAAAAAAAAAAAAAAAAAAAAAAAAAAAAAAAAAAAAAAAAAAAAAAAAAAAAAAAAAAAAAAAAAAAAAAAAAAAAAAAAAAAAAAAAAAAAAAAAAAAAAAAAAAAAAAAAAAAAAAAAAAAAAAAAAAAAAAAAAAAAAAAAAAAAAAAAAAAAAAAAAAAAAAAAAAAAAAAAAAAAAAAAAAAAAAAAAAAAAAAAAAAAAGAAATGGGTGGTAGTGGGGGTCATTCCCATAATTTTTTACCCAAAAAAAAAAAACAAAAAAAATCAAGAGTAAATTTAGTGACTTGTCAAAAACCAAAAAGCAAAAAGTGAATTAATTCTTCGCAAACATGAGCTTGAGCGTTCACAATACGACTGGATGACTTTCCAACTTGCCTGAGCTAAGCTATAGATGCATCGATTCTAGGACTCCCAACAACAACCGACTTGTCTTTTATTATAAGTGCTGCTATTTCCACCTCTTAAAAAATAAAAGAAAGAGAGGAGCTTGATGAGGAGGACAATGAGAGAGGCTCTGGATTCTTCAACAAGAAGAGAAGTTCCTTTATGAAGTTGAAAGCATTGCTCAATATGTAATTGAGAGCTTGTGAATATGGTATTTTATATAGGATGTTGAGGGATTAAGTGGGTAATTGATGGATTTCGGGCTCTGGGCAGCTATTGCCGAGCTCCATGGATATATTGGTGTACTACTTTTGGATTTTTTTAGGACCGTAGCGAGAACAATTTCCAACAATTTATGGGGTTAGTTTGTGTTGTAGGTATTAAGTAATTTATTTCTTTGGTAAAATATATAGTTTCATCTCTCAGCTCCTTTTGATTCCTATTCAATTTGGGTATTATTTGTATCTGGGAAAATTAAAATTTTTTTTTTTTTTTTTTTTTTTTTAGAATCAAGTTTCATTAATAGAAAGACAATGTCATTTACATGATGGTGGAACTCATGAAAATGAGTCGAAACAAATGCAACAGTAAAAGCGCACTAGAAATAAAACTCAAACAGGCATAAAGTTTACAACTGACATAAAAAGTCAGAGTCCAAAACTAGCATAAAGCCAAAGTCAACCCAAAAGAAAACACCACCAAAAGCCATAGTACCGCTGTCGCTGCCTCCATAAGACCGATATATCGCCACTAGGACTAATGATGAGTGAAAGAACTGCAAACACACCAAAACACACAAAACAAATACAAAAATTACAAATCTGAAAATCCCCGCAATACATAAACCAACCATCAAAGGCTCAATTACTCCTTCAAAACGAAGAACCTGGGAAACACTTCCCAAAGGCAAAGAAACTAGGCATTGTAATATTTTTGGGTTTATCTTGATTTATGGAGGCTGAACATGGAGGCAAGACTCATAATTATTATGGGCTGTTTTTTACCAAATTATGCCATGTTTTCATTTAGTACCAAGTTATAATTAAAGGGTATTTTAGGAATAAAGGTGGATGAAAAGATAGGATTGGATTTTTTTCAAATTTACATGGTGAGTGGGAAAATAAGGTGAGTGAAAAATTAAACAAAGAATAAAAATAACAGCACTCTTATTTGTATATATTTTTCGAAAAACCACCGAGTTGTCTCATTATTGCGAATGTAAATGTAATTGACTTATTGAGAGAGCACTCCATTGGTCATGCTTAGAGCTCCACTCACATGAAATCTTATTGTTTCAGGTTGTGGCCTTGGAGGATATTGATCTTATAATATTCAAGAGTAGGCAAGTGGTTCTAATCCCAGCAACTGGGATATCTCCCCATTCTTAGCCACGTGTGTTTGTGGCTTGCACTATAATCTTCATTTGTGTTTGTCGCTATTCTACCATGTTAATATCCGGAATATTTTGCTACTTGGGACATCTCCACCACCGTTCTTAGCCACATGTGCTCCACCACCGTTCTTAGCCACATGTGTAGATTATTATAGTATTTGACTTTTCATTTCCTTGGAATTATGTAGTTATTATAGGCAAATGAACACTCTTTAACAGAGTGATTGCTCCCTAGATATGTTCTTTTGATCATTATGCTAGCATGTACCAAAATAAGGCCATTATGGAGTCTACTGCAACAGACCTCTTCGTTGGTAAATTTATAGCCATTCTAGAGAGTGAAGCAGCCTCCATAGCGGGTGTTCGTGATCAAGTTGATGAGATTAAGCAGGAGCTGGTATTCATGAAATCCTTCTTAGCGGATGCTGACGAGGGCAACAAAGCAGATACACAAGTAGAGGAAGCGTGGATCGGAAGCGTTCGAGACTTGGCCAGTGACGTTGAAAACATCATTGATGAATTCATGTATCACATATACGTGCAGCGTAGAGGCAGTCAATTTGCAAGGTGGCTCCGCAAAACCATTCACTTCTCCAAGAACCTTTGGTATAAGCGTCAAATAGCCAAAAAGTTACAAAAAATTGCTGTAACGATTAGAGCTATTCATGAGAGAAATCAGAGATATGGTGGCGCTGCAGCTGTAGAAGGAAAAAGTACTTCTGAGGATATTCGCAGATGGGTACAGAACCAAGCGGAGTCTTCTCTTTACCAAAAGGAGGATGAACTCGTCGGGATTGAAGGCGATAAGAACATGTTAATGGGATGGCTGATGAACAAAGAGCAACACCAAATTGTTGTGTCCGTGGTTGGGATGGGTGGATCCGGGAAGACAACTCTAGTTGCAAGGACTTTCACCAACCATGTTGTGAAGAGCCATTTCGAGTGTTATGCGTGGATTACTGTTTCCCAATCTTATGTGATTGAAGACTTACTTATAAGATTGATGAAAGAATTCCACAAAGCAAGGAAGGAAGAGGTCCCTGCGAACATGAATTCCATGAGCCGTCATGAATTGCTAGAGATTTTGGTGAACTACTTGGAGACTAAAAGGTACCTAGTTGTATTGGATGACGTGTGGGATATCCATCTCTGGGAGAAAATAAGGTTTTCATTTCCAGATACACAACTTGGAAGTCGAATCATGATTACAACTAGAAGAGAAGACATAGCATCCTCTTCTTTTCGAGTTGAAAGCCATGTTCACAAGATTCAACCGCTGGAAAGGAGTGATGCTTGGGTGCTCTTCAGCATGAAAGCATTCTCAAGTTACCCTAACAAATCTTGTTCACCTGAACTTCTGCCATTAGCTCAGGGACTGGTGGAAAAGTGTGGAGGCCTACCTCTTGCAATCGTAGCCTGAGTGGTCTTATGTCTTCTAAGAAGTCACTTACAGAGTGGAGTACAGTCTACAACAGCTTAAATTGGCATTTAACAAACAATCCTTTGCTAGAACCTATGAAAAGCATCTTGTTGTTTAGTTATAATGATTTGTCATACCGACTGAAACAATGCTTTCTATATTGTTCCCTTTTCCCCGAAGATACAGTGATCTTAAATATGAGGCTCACTAGATTGTGGATCGCTGAAGGATTTGTTGAACATGCCAAAGGGGTAACAGCAGAAGAAGTTGCAAACAGCTATGTTATGGAACTCATTTTTCGTAACATGCTACAGGAAAGGTATCAAGAACACAACCATGCATGTAAGATGCATGATGTTATGCGGGAGATTGCTTTGTCAATAGCAGAAAAAGAAAAGTTTTGTTCCATACATCAAGGGAGTGAAACAGTGGAAGAAACTGGGGCCCTGCGTTTGTCAATCCAAACTACTAATGGAGAAATTGGATATTCATGCACAGGTTTGTCACGGCTTCGTTCTTTTCTTGTGTTTGCAACTGGCACATCCTCGTTCTCTTTCTCAAAGACATTGCTTTTTAACCATACATTGTTGAGGGTTCTAGATTTGGAGGATGTCCCAATAGATAATCTGCCAGACGAAGTAACGTACTTATTCAATTTAAAATATTTAAATTTGAGAGGTACTCCAATTAAGGAGCTTCCAGAATCCATAGGACAGCTCCGCAACCTTCAGACCTTGAACATCATGGACACAAACATAGAGGCACTTCCAAGAGGGATTTCCAAGTTGCTGAACTTGCGACATCTAGTTATGAGCCATTACCAAAATCTTTCCCTGGTAATTGGGGTAAAAATACCATCAAGTATTAGTAAGATGAAGAAATTGCAGTATTTGGGATGTATTAAATCCGAAGGAAATATCATTAGACTTATTGGAAATATGACCCAGCTTAAGGCCCTTGGCATTACAAATGTGAAAGAAAGAGACGAGGAGGACCTATGTGCCTCAATTCAAGAGATGAAGGTTCTTTCCAAGTTGGGTTTATGGGTAGCAGATGGAGAGGACTTTCTTCGACTTAACACATTGTCTTCACCTCCTCCCTTCCTTGATACACTTACCTTGAGCGGCAAATTGGAAAAGGTACCACATTGGGTTTGTTCACTCCACTCTCTCATATATTTGCGTCTGGGTGGGTCTAGACTTGAAGAAGAGGTACCACCTCATATCGAAGCATTGCCTTCTCTGCGTTTGCTTTGCCTTGATAATTCCTATGTTGGGAAAGAGTTATGTTTCAGCAGTGGCTTTGTGAAGCTTACGTATATGGCGTTGACTAATTTCTCATTATTAAATAAGATAACTATTGAGGAAGGGGTGATGCCAAATCTTGACTTCTTAATTATCAATACGTGCTTGAGCTTAGAGAGACTGGCACTGGGTATTGAGCACCTTACTAAACTAGAAGGATACACATTCGAGAGTGTTTCAGAGCAATTTACAGAGTCCATACGAGAAGGAGGTGTGGATCATGCAAGGATGCTACTAGTTGACGAGAGATGCAAGAAATATGCGTAAGTATATATCTTTTATCCTCGCATTCACGTTCCTAAACTTGATGGTTTGGACTGCACTTGTGTTCAATAGATTGTTCTCATTCACATCTCTGTTAATGTCTGTAAAGCCATATAAAGCATTCCAAGTTAGATTCCTAAGCCACACATGTATTTATGCATTGAAGTTTTGTTGGTTAATTACAATATTGCTTTTGTCTTCTTATATATTTTGAAGAAAGAAGTCCTACTATTGAAGATTTTATCCAGTTTTGGGGTGGGAAGAACTTGTTCTAGTTGTCAATTTTAGATGGACGTACCAACAACCCATTTTAATTACCTGCATAGCCAAGGACGGATCCCGATCGGATTTCCATAAATTTGCACTTGATATTTTTTATGTGTTTTAAAGAAACGTGTAATAATGTTCAAGTTTTCATCTGTCACTTTAGCAAACGGCAGCTGTATGAGTATTCAGTTTGGATAAATAATACAGAATCTTAATTGCTTTCCGTCCAACTCTGCACACGAGTAATCTTAGCAACTATACTAAAAAGGAGGGAAAAAGTGGCAAGTTTTCTTTACATCTTCTACCATGGCAATTATATTACAAAGGAGGGAATGGCTCCACCCCTTCCCTAACTTTACACCGACCACCTCCCCTCTTCTCCGGTGATGGACTCCTCCTGCCCCCACCCCGTCTTTCTCCCCCAATTGTCACAAGGATGCACGCAAATTTTTTATCTTATATAAGAATGAAATCTTGTTTTTTCCTTTTTATCGAATAAAACTATATATTTAAAACATGTTTAACCAAGAAAATAAAAAGATATTCATTATAAGTAGCCGCTTCCACGTGGAACCATACGTGGGGGGCTAATAACGGTTTTAACCGAAACTGCAGGAACGCCTGGCTTTGCTAAGAGAGTCAGACAGAGACCTCTTCCTTCTCTAGCTTAAATGTAGCCTCACTTCTTCATCACAATCTTCTTCTTCCCATTAACCAACCTCCCATTTCTCACACAGATTACAAACGCAAAACAAATACTCTGTTTTCCCTCTGATCTCTCTGTCTCTCAGAGCCAGCCATGGATGAAGAATACGACGTCATAGTGCTCGGAACGGGCCTCAAAGAATGCATTCTCAGTGGCCTCCTCTCAGTTGATGGTCTCAAGGTTCATGATCCAATAATCTCTCTTTCCATTTGAAAGCTTATGAAACTTCTTTCTTTGCGTATCACAACAAAACGACTAATTAACTCTGGCATTAATCACCTACCTATTTATTTACTTGCATTTTTGGTTATGCAGATACACATTGTTAATTAGTTTTGATGTATAATTCCGCAGTGTACAAATTTCAAATATATGTTTATAATGTACTCTAGCTGTTTGAATTTTGTCAAATTGTACGTTTGAGATGCATTAGGTAAGGGTCTTGTAGCTCAAGTGGTTAAGAGCAATTACTCATACACCCGAGGTCTTGTGTTTGAATCCTCCTCCCCCTATATCACTTTATAAATAATAAAAATGGAAAGAAAAAAAGATGCATTTACATAAACTAAACACAAATGGCTCACTTTTTGGCATCACTTTGGTTGATCAGTATTTACCATGGATGGCGGATCTCACTCTGATCAGGTTTCATTTGTTGCAATTTGCAACAGATATCACCTAGATTAATCATTGGTGTTGTTGTTGTTGTTGTTATAGTTAGATCATTAATTGATAAGAATGTTTTGGGCCGCTAGCTCCTTCCTAATATGTTATTTACTGGAAATAGGTACTGCATATGGATAGGAATGACTATTATGGAGGAGAGTCCACCTCTCTTAATCTCAACCAGGTTAGTGTTTTTCTTTTTTTCCTTTTTCTTCAAAACTGTTTTCGGGTGGATTACATGCTTTTATCTTTCTAATAGTTATTTAACGGCAATGTTATTGCTAACAATCTAACCTACTGCTATAGTTTGACATGGTGATAAACAGTATGACATACTTTTGTTATAAGATATTCCCATACATGCTTTCTCTTTAAGTACCGGCTTCGGTTTGTTTTCTTTTTTTCTTTTCTTGTAGCTCTGGAAGCGATTCAGGGGGGAGGATAAGCCTCCAGAAACTTTGGGCTCAAGTAGAGACTACAATGTTGATATGATTCCCAAGGTATGAAGAATGATGCATAAATTTCTTACTACCGTTCTTTGACTTCTCTTTTCGCTTTCCTTTCATTGGCCCCAAATCGTCATATGTAAGGTTGATGTACCATTTTCCTTGTTTTCTTAAGATTGTAATATGTTCATGGGCTCTCATGTTAATTGTTTTGCCTGTAAATGATGTGATCTAGCTAAGTTCAGTCACTCATGGGTTGGCAAAGTCAAAAACAAGCTCTAGGAAACCCTATTTGGAGTAACAATCTCGTCTTTATCATATTTAATATTTTTTCGAGAATAAATCCTGTTCCTGAATTGCACTTTGTTTATTTTAATCCCTTTCCAAAGGTGTAAAGATACAACCTTGATCAGGAATGTCATTAGTCTGGAATTTGTTTATTAACTGAAGTCTGCTTGAATATTGTTAGTACCCAAAAAAAAAGTCTGCTTGGATGTTGAATATTGATGACAGTCTTTGTGCATAATTTGACAGTTCATGATGGCCAATGGTGCTTTGGTTCGCGTCCTGATTCACACCGATGTTACTAAATATCTGAATTTCAAGGCTGTAGATGGTAGTTTTGTGTATAACAAAGGGAAGGTGCGATTCCTAACATAATAGACTTCTGCATCTATATGAATATATCGTATATTGAACTGTTGATTTTGTTTCACCCTGAATCAGTTAATAGACTTCTGCATTATGTTTCCAGATCCACAAAGTACCAGCTAATGATGTGGAAGCACTTAAATCTCCACTCATGGGATTGTTTGAGAAGCGTCGTGCTCGAAAGTTTTTCATTTATGTGCAAGACTATGATGAGAATGATCCAAAATCTCATGAAGGCCTGGACCTCAACAAAGTTACAGCACGAGAGCTTATTTCGTACTCCCTCCACATCTTCTCCTTACCCTTTTTATTTGTTGACTTTCACTTGTCTCTTAAACATTAATTGAGCTATACGTTAAATTTCTGCATGATGACATTAGGGTTTTTGTTTCTGACATAGGAAGTACGGGCTAGATGACAACACGGTTGATTTCATTGGGCATGCGCTAGCGCTCCACCGAGATGATTCTTACTTGGGCGAGCCTGCTATGGATTTTGTGAAGAGGATGAAGGTAATGGCTTGCTCCATTCCATCTCTCTTCTTATGAAACTTAAAAATGGAGCAAGAAAAATTATGTAAAGATAACATTTTAAAGAAGAAGTTTGAGATGCTAAGACAACAAGTGATAGAATCATAGAAATAAGATTGGTAATAGGTTAAGAAACTGTAAACATTCTGGTGTAAGGTGCTTTTCTATTTTCGTTTCCAACTGTATGCAATAGTGAACTTGACAGTGTTTTATAAAGCACTCTACTTTCCTTTTGAAAAGTTATATGCAGAGTCTTTAGCACGCTTTCAAGGAGGTTCTCCTTATATTTATCCCCTGTATGGTCTGGGAGAGCTGCCCCAGGTATGTTTTCAACCATTATTTGTAGTTTCTCATGGATATGCAACTTAGTTCCTCTGAATATATGTGCTATGAAATCGGCAGGCATTTGCTCGGTTGAGTGCTGTTTATGGTGGCACCTACATGCTCAGCAAGCCAGAATGCAAGGTGTGTGTGTTTGGGTGTTTTATTTATGCAAATCCAAAATTATCCAAATGCTCTGTCATAAACCTTTTAAATCCCATCTTTTATATCTTGTAATGGTATAAAGGGTTTTTGTTCTCTGAACATAACATGACTAGCTCAAATAGGCTGAGAGATAGAACCAATTGACCCTTCTGGAAGTCTATGGATAGAGTTATTTTATCCATGGAGACAATGTACTGCTGTGAATGATTTTCTCAAATTTCAAGCATATGTGGTAACCAACAAATTGAATATGGTATCTACAATGGGGATGTTGCAAAATGGCAGGTAGAGTTCGAAAACGGAAAGGCCTTTGGTGTGACTTCCGAAGGAGAAACTGCAAAATGCAAAAAAGTTGTATGTGATCCTTCGTATTTGCCTGACAAGGTAAAACTAATAAATCTTTGAATATCAGCAGTGTCATTCGACACAATAATTTGCGGTTTGACAACTGATTTGAGTTGCAATCTCCGTCGCTTGCAACAGGTGAAGAAGATAGGGAAAGTTGCCCGTGCTATATGTATTATGAGTCATCCAATCCCAAGCACCCATGATTCTCACTCAGTCCAGGTTATTCTACCTCAGAAGCAACTTGGACGTAAATCAGATATGTAAGTTGTTACCCCTCATGCCAAGAACATAACTACTACATATATAATCCAACATGTAATGACAAATATATAATCTAGATATTCAATGATTACCAAAGAAAGTTCTGTGCCTCTGTTCTAGGTACCTGTTTTGCTGCTCCTATTCCCACAATGTAGCTCCAAAAGGGAAATACATTGCTTTTGTGTTGACAGAAGCAGAGACTGATAATCCTCAGGTGGAGTTGAAAGCTGGCACAGATCTCCTTGGGCCTATAGACGAAATCTTCTTCGACACTTATGACAGATACGAACCTACCAACCAGAATGATGGGGACAACTGTTTCATCTCTGCGGTGAGAATAAATGAAATCCTACATCTTTGTTTCGATTATTCGTAGTCTCATAAATTTATACTTCAATTGCACTCATGACAACTGTTAGAGCTCAAAACTGGAGAAGAGAAATTATAGGATATTTAGTGCTAGAATAACCAACATTTTTTGTTCAGCTGCAATTAAAGCTGAGACTTGCTATCTGGTATGAAGACTGGCAACAGGTTCTTCTTGATGGAGATCCAAGTCATTTATTTATTTATTGGTGTAATGAATTCACATACTGTTTTCAATGATTTCCCTCATTTTCTATTGCTCCAAGCGAAGGAGGGCCATAAGTTGATATTCAGATAATGATTTGTAAAGCCTATTCCAAATACTTTTCCATGTGACTTTCTAGCCTGTGTTTCTTCCCATTGAGACTTTGAAGTCTTTGTTCATTTCTTGGAGTTGGAATGCTTTGCAGAGTTACGATGCTACGACACACTTCGAGACTACGGTCCAAGATGTGATCGCCATGTACAGCAAGATAACTGGAAAGGTAAGTTTTCAAGTTCACTCCAGTTAGCCAACTTATACAATTGAACATGCTTAGATCCTTCATTAATTTTGACCAAAATCGAAAGAAATAGTTTTTGTTTCCAGTTTTTCCTTTATTGCATAACCCTTTGGAAAGCCCTAACAAGTAGGGGAATATCTTTCAGACTCTTGACTTGAGTGTGGACCTGAGTGCTGCCAGCGCTGCTGAAGAATGAAATTGTGGAAGAGGAACAGTTGCTGAAACATTCTGTACTTTCTTTTCCACTATTTTTCAAGTTGAAGATTATTCAAGTGTTCTGAAGTTGTATTTCTTGAACATTTTAGCTGCTCTTTTGCTGAAAAATTTGTTCCACTGCAACGCAAACGATGTAGATTTTGAACATTCAAAGGATATAGAATTCTTGTTTTTCTGACTCGAATAAGTGGATCATACGGCATGGTTATGGGAATTTTGAGTTATGGATGAATCTGATGATAACAATTAATCACTATCCTTTTGTAATTTTTCTATTTTATGGATGAATCTGATGATTTGGATTATTATTTGTTGATAGCAAGCATCTTCCATATGTTTTTGCCCTCCTCTTTTATGAGCATGCATTGGGGTCATGCTCAAAACACTTTCCTTTTTGTTTTTGTGCCACAATCTTCAAGTAAATTTTCTGTACATCACAATACTCACTTGCAAATGTTGACTGGTCTTGGGGCATATTATTGGATAAGGAAAGAAGTCCCAAATGTTTGATTGAGCACCTTCTGCAAAATTTTCTCTAATTTGTTCTGTTTTTACCTGTACAAGTTATTTTGACAATATTTTCTTTGCTTTTTTTGGGTCTATAATTCTATCTTGGACTGTTCTCTGTTGGCAATACAGCTTAGAGTGCAAACTATGTTTTATTATAACCAGATTCTTAGGTTAGCATCAATAAAATCCATTCAACTGGTTTCAGGATTGTGATTGATACTAATCCACTCTCAACATCTGGTATCAATAAATAGGAAAAATAAAATCAGCATCCCATACATCGTGTTAAAATCAAATAATTTTTGTTTGGCAATAACCCGGTTGATCAATTATTCTTGTTAGCATGTTAGAAAATTTGTCAAAAACATAAATCAATAGCCTTTTCAAGAATAAAATTCCATCTTACACACAACCATATGACTGATTTTATCATGACCATGAGAAATACATTAAACCTTTGTCGCCATCTACGCCACTTTGGTTTTTGAAAGAGCTTTCTTCCTCTGACTGAGCATATACCGGTACATGTGAGGGCTGCCTGCAACAGATAAAGCAATTGGAAAATGAATAAAGAGAGGCAGAATAGGTATGTGTGGTAAAATATGCCAATGAAAGAATGCATGCCTGGGACATAGATTCCTAGAGCGATAATGGCAGCATAGAAGTAATCGAAAGAGAAGTTCCACTTGTTTGGCATCCTTATAGAATACTTTTCAGACTTCTGCAAATACACAGATACTTTCAAACACTTAGATACAAGTAGAAGATACGGCAAGTTCCACGGAGAATATGAGTAATAAACGGCTACAACACCAAACCCCTCAAACCCACGAAAGCCACCCCTTTTGCAACACCCTCACCCCAAAAAAGAGGGACTGAAAAAAAAATTATTGGTTTTATGCATCATTTAATTTGATACCTGAATGTATTGTAAGGCAATATAAATTAGACCAACTTCACTTGTGATGCCAGTTGGATACAACAAGATAAATGTGCTATACCTGCATGGGATTGAAAGAACAAAAAAAAAAATGAATGAATCACAGAACTCAAACTAATTACATTCCCGTCCAGTGGGCACAAAACTGATGTACAACCTGAGCCACAAGAGCCATGAAGGTGCAAAACCAAGTGCCTCCTTCATGCCAAAGAAAGAGTATCGAATAATCTGCAATTACAAAGAAACGAATCTGAATTTGTTTCCCACCTACTACATCTTATCCACTGGAGAAAAGCAACATGAGTGCAATCAACATCAGTATGCAGCATGCATTAATGCAACCAACATCAGGATTCAGCATGTATTAATGCAATAGACGCCTGGATGCAGCATGTATTACACTAAGTCAGGAATTCTGGAAGTTTCAACAGAGAAGCAATTGTCTGGGAATTTATTTTATGATTGTTCTGTATAGATACAACTCGATAAAAAGGCCAGCTATAACATACAAATTTTGGATTTAAAATTTGCAGTTAAGAAGCAGAAAACATACATGAATAGTTGTTCTTAGTACGTGTTTCAAAGCAGAAGTTCAAGCCAACTGCTTTAGAAAACAAAATTTTAAAAAAAATTCATGCTTAAAGCAACAAATTATGATCACAGAGAGCATTTCATTAAGCTAAAAGCCTGGGTATTAATGGGTCATTTTATAGACAATCCAAAATGATAAACCTTATAATTCAAGGATAAAAATGTCCCATGGGTGAGAACCACACTGGCTAGAGACATTCTGTTCTCAAAAAAACCAAGTGAATACATCCTCAATTATGAGATATGAACAATGAAACTGTTTTAAAATTTATCAATGCTGGCACCCCTTGCCCTTTACTATGAGATAAAAAGTGTCATTTGATCTATATCTTCAATTAAAGTGGTCATGCCATTTTGTGGGAAGCAAGACAAATTATGTTTAGTGCACCAACTAAACCTCTTGATTCTATATTTCGATATTGATTTAGAATAATACTGGATGACTCAGATTGCATAAGGGATAAAACCCCAAAAATAAAAACACTACTTGCAGGTCACTAGGCAGTTGGACACAACAATTTTTCTCTAGCAATACAGTAATAAAACTTTTTACAAAGCTGTAAACACAAAAGAGAGTAAAAAAGGCAAGAATTGGCAACCAGGAAACACTTGCCTCAGTGATAGACCAGCTGATGACCAAAGAGCTCACAAGTATATGACTCTGAGTCTGCCACAATAGGCTTCATATTGTTAGTAAAATCTTAAACCCAAACAAAAAAAAAAAAAAAAAAAAAAAAAAAAAATTAAGTATAGAATGTTTAACAGTGATCACAACTTGGAAGTTGCATTGGTACCTCAGGAAAACTACAGAGGATTCCCCAAGTAAGATACAATCTTGAACCAATTTGCGGCAGCGTCGCTGATATCGGAGATCTGACCAAACCTTTACAATACATAGAAAGAACAATTAACAATGTTAACTAAAACCCACAAAAGAAATCAGCTAAATTTCAGTTAAAGACCATCTTGTTTACAATTATGTAAAAGAAAAAAAAACTTGAGGAAAGAAAAAATTTAAAGACACCGACCTACTAGACCATGAAGAATCTGTTGCTCCGTACATTTCCAAAATCCAATTTAGAGAACAACAGAAGAAGAAGAAATGTGAAAAATGCATCCCCCAATTTAAAATACAACGAAGAAAAAAATAGTAATAATTGGAGGGAGTAGAAGTAGTGAACCTCCAAAACGGCGGCGGATTGAGCAAGAAGAAGCGGGCGTTCAAACGGCTTTGTAAACATGCTGGTGGCCTGATTCGTTGAGAGTCTTGAGAGCAAGATACAGTACCTGCAACCTGAAACCATGAAATATAGAATTCAATACGTTATAGTGGTCACTAGAGAGAGAGAGAGAGAGAGGAGAGAGAGAGAGATTGTAGGAGTGGGCACCATCCGAAGAAGACGGTCCAGTTGTAGAGAGAGAGGTACAGGCGCCTGAGAGCGGATAACGCTCCCGCCATTGATGAAGCTATGGCAGATCTAGCAGCCTACAACACTAATCTATAGAGGGAGAGCGAGAGAGATAGATAGATGGGAAGTATAATAAATAGAGTTAAAGGCATGTAGGTGAGTTATTAGCTCAACGCCCCAACCACTTCTACTTGCTTGCACTGGCGTCTGAAATTTTTGTTTACTCTGTTTGGGATGTATTTCCCCAACATCCAACCCCCAACGGAGTCCAATTTTAATCACAAAAACACCAAAACGGATTTAATGGGTAGTTGATCGAATTCCTTACTTCCCCATTCCAAGTAAAACATGTTATTACTTTTTTCACTCAACTTACAAAATTGAATATCTTCATGTGCATATGAAGATGAGGGTGACCATTTAGCACTCTTCTTTTAGTTATGTGTACTTCAAATTGAATGTCTATAATTTTTCTCTCTAATCACATATGAATTGAATGACACTAAAGTATTAAAATCGCTAGGCTAAAGATTAAATTGAAGCATAGGGAGGGTGATATTTTTGTCAAGCAAAATATCACATGCTCAAGCACAAGTGGGCAATCCATTGGCATTTATTAACACATAAGTATTTGAGTGATTCTAATTTATGATTTTCCCAGCATTTACTTATAACAATAAATAAGAAGTTATGTAGGTTTCAAGTTAAAATTCGCAATCAAATACCCTTAAAATAAGGAATGAGATCAACTATGGCGAGTTGATCCAATTCCCATTTCTTAATTCCCTTTTTTAAGGGGTGTGTATTCAATTAGGATTCTAAAGCGTTTAAAAAGATTTTAAAAATCCGGGTGTATTCAATTTGGATTTATACAAACTTTAACAGTTTTGGTGTATTCAATCTAGACTTGTGGGTGTATTCAATTAGGACTTGGAAAAAGTCCAAATAAATTTACCTATATTCAAAGGAGGTAGATTTGGAAGGATTTAATTAAGTGTTGGAGTTTGGAGAATTTGTAGGGTTTAGGTATAAATAATAAAGGCCAACAAAAGTCCAACCTCCACCCCAAAGATTTCATACGACGTGTTTTTTTTTTCTCTGTTTAGAAAATTTTCCATCGTTTGGCAAACAATGCACTAAGCCATGCACTGACCTTGGGTGGTTACAAGCGTCATGTATTAAGGAAAGCTCCTCCATTAGTGATTTCTTCAAATCAACCAGTTGGAGTTGCTAGGAGGAAAGCTCGGCTAGAGGTTTCTCGATCTCCTATAAGTTCCCCTGGAGATCATCTCGGCATGAAGCCAACATCAAGGCGGCGGAAGGTTGAGATATATTTCCATCACCCATAACACTACCAGATGATAGGGCCCTTGCTTTTTGGACAAAGGGTTGTTTTTTTTTAATTGAATTTTTGGACGAAGAGTTTGCTGTTCATGAACAAAATCAAAGGGAAATTTCCAACTCGTGGAAATTTCAAAGGGAGATTCATTGTTTAGGTACGAAAGTTTCCAACTCGTGGAAATTTCAAAGGGAAATTCATTGTTTAGGTATGAAAGTTTCCAACTCATGAAAATTTCAAAGGAAAATTCATTGTTGTGCACACAAGTAGAGGAAGGAATTAAAAAAAAAAAAACGATGGTTGATTAGTGGCTAGGTCAAGATAGTTTAAAGAAAACAGTGTTGGGAAGAAAGAGTGATAAAAGAAAATAGTATTGGGAAGTCTATACAAATATATCTGAATCTATAACAAAAGTTCATACAAAAGTATGGAAGTCTATAATAAAAGCCTATACAAGTTTATTAAAAATCCGGGTAAAACCTATAGGAGTTATACAATTCTAGGAAATCTGTCACTTAAAAAAAATCTTTCAAAATCGTATACAATCCTAATTGAATACACCCCCCTAAGTTTTCTTATTCTTTTTTTTTAGTACAAGCGATAGTCTAAATGAGAGGGGAGGGAGATTTCACACACACACACACACACAACTATGATGTTGTGGGATTTGAACCTGAGACCTTTGGTCTGTAAGTCAAGACCCTTATTTAAGTTCTCTGATTCATAACTTCCCTATTTTTGGTAAGTAAACATGCCCCGAAAGAGTAACATTTTACAAGAGACTTGAGAGAACGAAAGGTAAACTATAAGATCAACACAAAATGAAGATGACTCCTATGTAGGCAAATGCTTGGACCATTTTCCATTTATGGGCTTCACTATGGGCCAAGATAGGCCCACACAAACAAAATCCATATTGTGGTCTATTACTTAACAACATCTCAACAACCATCCTTGAATATGAGAATATTTGGATCCTTTCACAAGTCTAAAGAATCAACTTTGTAAGGGCAAGCCCAATGAGGGCTCTAAATGGGGTAAGAATTCTATAGTCAAGGCCTTATATATGACCCTTAGGTGATGCCCTATCTCTTAATCGTTGGCTCAAATTCGTTAGTCATTGGATCAAATTAGTTAATCTGATCCAACGGTTAAGAGATTGGACCTCACTTAAGGGTCATATATAAGGTCCTCACTATAGAATGACTCCTAAATGGGGCTACACCGCCCTTGGGCTTCAAAAAATAGCACATGTGGTCAAAAAGTCATCCCCAATGAAAGCAAGTTGGGTCTTTAAAAACCCAAGCCTGGGCGAAGGGTTGCATCCACCTCTATATATAGGGCTCTGGTTGAGGCCACTAAAACCAAGCGGGGCCTGCTACGTGGAAAGCTGAAGCCCATTTTAGGTGCTACCATTCACTCGCTTGCGCAGCTCCACAAGGCTACTCACCCAAAACTACTTTCCTTGGCTGACCTTGTGTTTGTTTCCTTTACTTAGCAACCTCCTTTTTGCTTCTATCTCTTTTCGTTTTTATAAGCTGCCAAGTGTTGATGCTGTTACTTTCTGTATTTTGTAATTTTATTTTATTTTTGTTTGTTTGTTGTTTCCTTGTGTTTGCTTTCAATTTATATTATTTTTCAAAATCTCATCCAAATTTTACTTCTTTTTTTTATTGAAATGTTCATATAAAAAAACAAAAACAAAACTAACATAACATAAATATCCATGAACACAAAATGAGTTTACAACAAAAAGTTTAGCATGTAAATTACAAAATGAAAACATTAAAACCCTAAATATAGAGCCTCCATTGTCGAAAAGATTTCTTTGAAGCCCGAAAGATTTTACTGGAACACTAAATGGGGCTTCATCCACCATTTTAGAGCTTATTTTAGAGAGTATCATTGGGCTTGCCCTAAGTTTAAAAAAAGTTGGGCCAAACAATAAACCCAAGTAAAATTGATTGTTCAATGAAGATTCTTAATTTTGTTCAATGAATAATAGGGCCACTTTAGCCTAAGCCCAAGCCCAGGCTGGTGGTAGAGCCCGGACACGTGCTAACAGAAAGAAGAAGAAGAAGACGAAGGACACACACAAAAAAAGAAAAAAGCTGATGTCGGTCAGAAAAGCAAGTCCTATATATACAGCTCTTGACTACATGTGCAATTTAAAGCAAACTCTTGTACGTTCCCTAACCTAAAACCATGAAGGGGGTACTTTCCTTTCCCCATGACTTCTCTAATGGTATTTTCAAAAGGTTCTTCCCAAAAAAAAGACTCTTTGAAAGGGTTTTACCTAAAAAAGAAAAATTAAAAAAATTAAAGATTCTTTAAAAAGGGCCCCAAAAACTCACCTTCATTAACTTTCCCAAATCTTATTATGAGCCACCTACAACCACCCCTAATCCTCCACTCCACCTAGCGCAATTTCTTTTAGAAACATCCCTTGGCTACACGCAACGCAACTCAACCACAACCACATGATAAAAGACAAGCATTTGGGGTCAGTGAGGCTATCATCAAAATCAAACTTGTTCCTCCATTAGCATACAAGCAACCACCATATCCTAGCTTGATCAGTTTTGCCAGCATTTATCAATGGGAGGAGATTTGCAAAGAGATTAGAAAATTTTGGATATTTGGAGAAAAACCCAATTCCACAAAAAGAAAAGAAAAGTAAATCAAGTTCCAATGTTAAGACTTTTGGGCACATTGGATGCGGAAATTAGCCATTGATCTGCATCCATCCATCCGGACATGATAATAATATTAGACCGTTGGGGGGTGAATATAAAATTGTAGATGAAGAAACCTTTCTTGTGCAGAGAGACCCTAAATGATGGGTCAAATAAACACAACACAAAAGTCATGAGAGAGAGAGAGAGAGAGAGAGCCCATGACCTCATTTCATATCTCCCAAATTCCATGTGAGTACTCGTGGTAAAAATTCTGAGCAGTCCACTGTAGTGTCGGTGGGTAGCACCAGAAGCCAATCCAATAAAGTTCATAGGGTCATAGAGATACCCACCACCAACCTAACGGTCCAAAAACATGCAAAACCCTGTAGGCTCCGAATAACTCACTCCGAGCCTCGGAGTTCTGTTAAAAATAATAAATAAATAAATAAACCAGCAAAGAAGGCAAACTAAATCACACTGTTTTTGGTTTTTTCGACGCCAAAATCCTTAAATTCACTTTTATCCCCGAAAAGTGACACGTTCCCACAATCAATTCACGGCAAAGTGTCCAGGTGTCCCAACTCAAAGTACCTTTACTCTCTCTCCTCTCTCTCTCTGCTTTCTCTCTATTATATTGATGATAATGGCTTACTCTCTAGGCCTACATTTATAGTTGCTTATTCCTTTTTCTCTTCTTCTTCTTCTTCTTCTTCTACTTCTTCTGGGTCTTTGTAGTTTTCACTGCAGAGCAAAACCCAGTTTTTAGTTTCAGATCGGAGGTGGAGTGGAGTGAGTGATCAGAGTTTTGGAAAATGGGGCTGAAGCTTCACTACCACAATCACTATCATTCTCCTAGAGGAGGAGCACTTGGTGCTCTTCTGCTGCTGCTGCTTCCCATTTTCTTGCCCAGTTTGTTCAGCCCATTGGGCCATGCTTCACCTTCCATGTTGTCGGTACGTTTCATGCTTTTTAATTAATTAGCTATTTTCCTGGGATTAAAGGTATTTTTTACCTGCTTGTATTGATTGGTAAAGAGATTTTCCGGTTTCTTATTTTAAGGGACAAATTTGTGATATTTTTCTAGTAGATTTTCTGGCCTGTTGTAGTGGTTTTGGTTGGATAATAGATATTCAATGCAATATAGTTATGTTTTGTTGTAAATGTGAAATGGGAAAACTATCCCCCAGTTCCCAAATGTCGATAGGCCATCAGCAGTGTGAGTTACTTTGATGTAAAATCTCTGTGTAATGACGAGTAGCAAGTTACTGTATGTGCTGGCGTCATGAACATATTGCTTGTACATTTCTAGTATCAAATTGAATGTCGAGACCCATCAAATGTTAGGCGACTTTTGTGCAAGTACTTATGTTTGCCATTTCAGTTATATATAACTTGTAAGTGCATTTCCACCTGTTGCAAAAATCAGCATCAATTAAATACAGCTTTGCTTTTAGGGGCTTAATGTGATGATGAAGTCGAATTTTCAGGAATGGAATGTTCCAAAATCTAGACACCAGCGTCTTCTCAAGAGTGCTTTACAACGCCAAACTGTGAGTATTAAGCAGCACAATTGTTTCTTAAATAGTTTGACTGATTTGTTGTCGAAGTCTTGACTGAAAAAAATAAAAATTATTTCCATTGTATAGTCAGAAAGGGAACTCTCAGATCTATGGACTCCATTGGCCAACCAATCATTGAAACCTTGTGCAGAATCATCAATTGCCCCTTGTGAGTGTTTATGGAAAACTGTGATACTTTGATTATATCTGTATTCCACCTAAAGTAGTATTACCGTATGTTGCAGAACTAATGTGTTTTAACAATGTTTATAAAGTGTTACTTTTCCGCAATTGATTTTTTTATCTCATGCAGCATTACCAGAGAAATCTGAGGGATTTATCCAAGTATTTCTTGATGGAGGGCTGAACCAGCAGAGGATGGGGGTAGGTTTAAAAGTTTCTAATGTGTCCAATGTAAATCTGAAGTAGGAAAAAAAAAGTTTAACTGGAATAGCTGTTATTTCTATGATTAAAATTTGCAGTCTCGTCTTGTCTGTTTCAAAGTTGTAGAATTTCTTGGTTAGGTCTTAAAATTGTTCCCTTTGTAGATATGTGATGCAGTTGCTGTTGCTAAAATACTGAATGCAACTCTTGTGATCCCGTACCTTGAAGTGAATCCCGTATGGCGAGATTCGAGGTATACATGGAAGCAAAAGTTGATTTATCTTTGCTTTGGTTATATTTGTTCTTTATCTCTTGAATTCTGAGTGGAATTCTTATGTTGGTTCTTTTCCTTCCTCTGCAGCTCCTTCATGGATATATTTGATGTTGATCATTTCATTAATGTATTAAAGGATGATATTTCCATAGTTAAAGAGCTACCTTCTGATTTCTCCTGGAGCACAAGGGAGTACTATGCAACGGCCATCCGAGCTACCAGAGTTAAGACAGCACCTGTGCATGCTTCAGCCAACTGGTATCTAGAGAACGTATTGCCTGTAGTTCAGAGGTCAGTATTACCTGAACTTGTTGACTTAAGTTAGAGTTTTATTGTTGTTTGGATTTTTGGACGTTTAGGTGAGACATATAAAGTGTCTTGCATCAATGGGAAACATAGTTTTTTTTTCTTGGTAATGCCCCAAAAGCAGCATATTGATTTCGAGGATAAGGAAAGTTTAAGGGCCTTCTTCATGTGATATTTCAACTGCCTCATTATGTACTCCAGTACCAGAATTTGAAACTATTGGCAAAAAATGATGCCCTTTCCATTCATTGTTGGAGTGGCAGGATTTGAGAAGGTGGACATGCAATAACTTGTCTATCTACATTGACAGGTGTAGCTGAACTCTTTATGTTCAGTGCATTACTGTGAAATTACTAAGATTCTACTTCATTAAAGTCATTATAGCGTCATATTTTTTATTTATGTGCGTGGTTTTTGTCCCCCTTAATTTTGAGTAGGTATTGAAGTTAATAAAAAATTATGTCTTCATACCTAAGATTTCGTATTTACTGAATTGTATGTGGTTCAGTTATGGAATAGCAGCAATTGCCCCTTTCTCTCACCGCCTGACATTTGATAACTTGCCTATGGACATCCAACGGCTACGCTGTAAGGTCAACTTTCAAGCATTAGTTTTTGTCCCTCATATTAGAGCACTTGGAGATGCTCTAATCAGCCGCCTTAGAAATCCTTCTGGCAAAAGTGGAGCAGTTGGCACCAATTACCTGCAGGAGATGCCTGATGTGAAAAATAAACAAGGGGCAGGGAAATTTGTTGTGCTACACCTACGGTTTGATAAGGTATGCTCCTCTCCTATAACTGATGCACAAACATTTGAGGCGTCTGTTATTTTATTTTTTATTTTTCCGAAAGATCTGTTTGTCTCTAGCCTGCAAGCTACAGAGAATTTTGGCATAATTGGTATAAGGAACTGCTTGATGTATACTAGCAATGTCTGACTTGAAGTGTTTATGTTATGGGGCACGTAAACAATCGACAGATTGTAACACATTATATTTCATTCTAACCAACTTATACTTTATTTTTAACTATTCAAAAATATGAAAATGATGTGTTTGCAGTATGCCAATACCATCTATACGTCTAGTAACCATGTTTCGTATGTGTCCCACACCCTCTGCTTTATTTTATTTTCTCACTCTCTGTAGTTGTGGATTTCAAGTTGGAATCGTATTTATATGTTCTTTCATTAATCTCGTCTTTCTACAGGATATGGCAGCCCATTCAGCCTGTGATTTTGGTGGTGGAAAAGCTGAAAAACTGGCTCTGGCCAAATACCGACAAGTAATCTGGCAGGGAAGGGTCCTTAACTCCCAGTTCACTGACGAAGAGTTGAGGAGTCAGGGCCGTTGTCCATTAACTCCAGAAGAGATTGGATTGCTGCTTGCAGCTTTGGGGTTTGACAACAGTACTCGTCTATATCTTGCTTCCCACAAGGTTCATAGCTTTCTTCTATCCAACTCCTGTTAGCTAAGGCTCATCCCAGTGAATTGGAACATTTCAATTTGGAACTTTAAATTTAATGTTTCTGGTTCACGGAATTCTATTTCTTAAAATTGTTTTGTTTTATCCAGGTATATGGTGGGGAAGCTAGGATTTCAACCTTGCGAAGATTGTTTCCACTAATGGAAGACAAAAAGAGCCTTGCTTCTTCAGAAGAACGGGCCCAAATAAAAGGAAAGGCTTCTTTGTTAGCAGCAGTTGATTACTACGTTAGCATGCACAGCGACATCTTCATTTCTGCTTCTCCAGGAAATATGCACAATGCACTGGTAAGACTTCTAAAAACAACTTTTTATGAATTCTACAAGATCATATCCCAAGTACCGTGGTTAGCATTGGTACTTTTAAGGCCATAGATTTTGACAAATCTTCGGTGTCAACAGGTAGGGCATCGAACTTATGAGAACTTGAAGACGATTAGGCCGAGTATGTCACTGTTGGGTCAACTCTTCCTAAACAAAAGCATTAGCTGGTCAGACTTCCAGCAGTCAGTAGTAGAAGGGCACCAAAACAGACAAGGGCAAATCAGGTTGAGAAAGCCAAAGCAGTCCATATACACCTATCCTGCTCCCGACTGCATGTGCCAGGCATGAGGTTAATGTGATGGAGAAGAAGATCTAGACGACTATCTAGATTTCATTATTTGGTACCACTACACCCTTTGTGACTTGTATTATTGGTAAATAAAAAACGATCCCATTTCTGTTAGTCATAAAACTATACAGGTAATATTTTCAATAGGGTGCAGTAGGTGTAATAGGTGCTTCTGGGGATGTATTGGTCGAAAAATACTCTTTATGTAGAAGTGGGGTTGGGGTTTGTACTTGTATTTGTCACGGGGTTTGGATGTGATTGACTTTTAGGGACAATACTTTTAGACAGAAACAAATGTGTTTGTTCCAATTCGAATTACATGTATACCGTCCTTCCATGCCCCTGCTTTATACATCTTCTTTGCTACTATTTTTATGTTATTTTAGTACAAGTGATAATGGGGGAGGAGGGAATTGAACCTAGGACCTCGGATGTAAGGGTAAATGCTCTTAATCACTTAAGGTACAAATCCCTTAGAGCATCCACAATGATGCCCTCTATTTCTTAGTTAAAATTTAGCTAAAAATATAAGAAAACTATTTTAGAAGCTCTCTAAAAAATTCAACTCTAACCATACTCCATAATTTGGAAGTTATAAATGTTATAACTCTTTTTTGATTGGTCCATCTCTATTAAAAAATAAAATAAAAAAATATTTAGCATTAAATAAAGGTTTGAAATACTCATTAAATAAAGCAATATTAAATTATAGGGAGTCACGAGGAGTCCTTTCTCTCTCCTTAGATTTATGAGCTCCTAGAAGACCCCCTATTTTAGGATGTGGATATGGAGCATGGTTGAAGTTGCATTTTTTACGTTTTCTCCTTAAAATTTGTCTAAAGAGATGGTTTAAGGAGCCCATTGTAGATGCTCTTACTTGCTACTATCCATTTTCAGTCATGCACACACTCCCAATAGTCTAGGTGGTTTTGTGCAAATTTCCCTTTGAAGTTTATTTCTTTTTAGTCTCTCACAACATTTAAAAATAGGCTTAATTGCTACTCTGCACCCTGAAACATTAGTCAAATTCCATTTTACTCCCTTAAAGTTAAAGTGACCCACTTTGCCCTCATGACTAGGGTTTGATGTTCCACATTGCCCCTTACTTTCAATTCCATCCAAAAGTTCGTTAAGTTTGATGGCGTGGCATGAGTGTTTTAGTAATTTTGTGCACCTAGGTCATTTACTTCAATTTGAGTGGATGATATAGCCCACCTCTAGCATGGATAAAAAATTAATAAAAAATTAAAATGCAATCATTAAATTGAAAAAAAATAGATTTAAAAAACAAAAACCCTACCCATCCCTTCTCCTCCAGTCGCTCCCCCAAAACCCGCAACCCACCCCACCCCACTCCCACAGAACCCCGAATTGTTGGAGTTTCAGACACACCAACACGCCGATACGAGTCAGACATGCATTGGAACGAATTGAACACGGTCAAGACACAGCCAGGACACGAATTACAGTCAAGACAATACAGGGACCAATTTGAAAATAAAAATTGGGGTAAAAACTTAATTTTTGAAATTGTGGTGGACAATAGGGTTAAAAGTGTAAAAAATAACTTTTCTAAACCTAAAGCTCACCTATTTAGCCGCAAATCTCATTTATAGACATAGCAGCCATGAGATCCCTTCACCTTTCTTCTTATCTCCCTTTCCAAGCATGTTGTTTTCTAATAGCAATAACAATAGATGCTTGAAGAAGATTAAGAGTTTAGATTATTTATGTTTTATTTTGTAGTGTATTAATTATTATGTATGGATGATGAACATGAGTCATTTGTTTTGTTTTATGGAATTATATGACACTGAAGTATTGAGTATGAATTACTATTTTTTAAATATATATAAGTATATATTATTATTTTATTATAATTTATTATTATTTTAATTTTCATGTTTGTGCCGTGTCCGTGTCCTAGTTTTTTTGATATTTTTCGTGTAGCCGTGTCGCATTTCTATGTTTATGTACCCATGTCCATGCAACATAACCCATAACTCATTCCCCTCCTCCTCGACCTGTCCCCTCTCGCAGCAGAGAGAGAGAGAGAGAAAAATTTTTTTAAAATTTTTAAAGTAAGAAATAAAATTTTAAGGTTTTTATTTTTTTGGGTCAAAAAAGTGGATTTTTTTTTTTTTTTTTGGGTCAAAAAAAGTCAAAAAGAGGGGGGGTAAGTGGATTGATTCATTATTATTAAAACCAAAAACCCAACCCACCCCAATAACAATACACCAAAAAGTGAGACCCAACCAACTGAGCTCATCAACAAAGCGAAAATGTCAAAGGCCCAAATAAAATGCAAAAGAACCAACAAGAAGTTAAAAACCCAGAAGGCATTAAGCCCACACAATCCCATACCAAGGCCATGAAAGCTAACAAACTCTGACCAAAATCCAATAGAGTCGTCGCCGCCTCCGCCTGAGATGACATCACTAGGACAAGTTGAAGGGAAGAGCTGCCACACCCAAGGGGCACAAAGCGAAAAAATAGCACAACCAACAGATCCACCCAAATACCTTATAATCCCACATATTACAAAGACACATACAAGAAAAAAGAAGCCAGCCACAAGATCATCACATCCCAAATCAAACCTGACAAAGCACCAGAACAAACACAAAAACCAAACAAACATCAACATAATAGAAGGAGGTGGTGCAAACACTCGAGAAAGAGCAAAAGCTCGAACTCTACACATCTTCAGAGTTGTGTGCGGGAAACTGCGTTTTCGGCTAGCCGAAACAGTCACAAGGTGAAGCTAGATCAAAAGGAGGAGAAAATTTTGGTGGGAAGGACCAAGACCATAGAGAAGAGATTTGAACGGAGTGTGTGAGGGAGATAAAAGGAATGGATGGAGGAGGAGACAACTGAATACAAGGGATGAGAAATAAGGGGTGATCTGGGTAAATAAAGGAAACCGTAGGCATAAAGCCTCAAGAGTTCAAGCAGAGCTTGAGAAAAACCACCCACAAAGGGAAGAACAACACCCACCAAATGGGAGAGCAGAACACCCACAAAAGGGGAGAGCAGAAACACTTACAAGAAAGGGAGAAAACGAGCAACATATCTCCACAAGCAACAAGGAGCAGGCTAAGAGAAGAAACCAGAGGAAAGGGAGGAGGAGAACCTCCTCCCCCCCCCCCCCCCCCACCCCAGGTCGTGCGGTGCACAAGGGTTTTTTTTTCTCACTTTTCAAAAAGTTGAGGGTTATGTTTTAAATTTTATGTTTGTATTTTAGTGGGCTCCACTTTGCCACTTCACCCACTCAAATTGGTGAGTGAAAAACCTAGGTGCATAAAATTACCAAAACACTCATCCCACGTCATCAAACTTAATAGACTTTTGGATAGAGTTGACGGAATTGGGCAATGTGGAACACCAAACCTTGGTCAAGGGGGCAAAGTGGGTCACTTTAACTTTAAAAGGATAAAGTGAGATTACGAATGTTTCTGGGGCACTGTAGTAATTAAACCTTAAAAATATTGAAAAGCTGTTTACACAATTATATTGCACAAATATTGACACCAGATAAGTGTATAATGAATCAAAATCCCCTCATGACCCATTTATTGAACAAATAAGCACACTAGACACACTAAGCCATTTGTATTAAATGTTCACTGAAGGACCTTAATGTATAAATTTGAGTAATGCTGGATTTCTAATACAATTAAGTTTTGTTCGGGACTTCAGAAACTTATTCAAATAATTGCCCACCAATGCAGTCCTTTTTTTATATTTTATTACAGTATGTTTGATAAGCTTACCAAATTTAAAGCAGAATGAAATGAGAGCCTGATATGAGAGAAACAAAGAACCCCACTTTCAACTTGGACATGCATGAACATCTTTGTAATCGTGAAAGAAATCCAAACAGATCAGCCTCAAATGGCCGTGATGGAAGCTTACATTTTTCTTTGATGTATTGTTGGCTCAATGAAAAGGGCCGACAAATGCTACAGAGTACCATTGGCAATGACGATGATGAAAAATACAGTGAGCATGTACACTGTACAGTGTGAGCAGCTTTGAAAAAATACAGCTTCATGGAGTGCCTTTCTAAAAGAGTCAGGAATTGCATAGGGCATAAGCCACGACTCTCTTGATCTTCCTAAACTCAATCACTACCAGATGTTGAACCCGGTGCAGCTGGAACCTGATAATTTTTCTTTCCCTTATCAGCAATTGGAGATGCATTTCCTTTGCGGCTAGATGCCAAATCATTTGCCGCTACATGAGGCGAAGGGGAAGCCATCCCCTCCTCGATAGGAAGGGTTCTCTTTGAGCCCTCTAAAGCAACACCAAGCACTATATTTTCTTCTATAGCAGGCCTTGATGGTGGTGGCTCTGGAACTGGCATCCTTTCATCTTCCTGTTTCACTGGAGAAGCCGCTGACCCACTTGTTTTGTCAGCACCACCTTCGGATGAGGAAAATGTAGGTTTATTAGTAGTGCTCGGAATAACATTCCCTAAACTTGCAGTCTTAAGTTGCTTTCTATCAGAGATATTTTGCGTCGAATTATCAGATACTGTGCCGGCTGCTTTGGAGTCAGAATCAGACTTTTCAGTGTCTCTAGAATTCATCTTGGAGATAGAATTATATGTTGACATCCCTGTTTCTTTGTCACCAACTTGGGGATAAGAAATAGATGATTTTGCACCCTTCGAATCCTCCTTCGTGTTTAAATTTGGCATTTCTCCACTCCTGGCATCTGCCTTGGTGTCAGATAATGGTGTTTCTCTGGTCTTGGAGTCAGATGCTGGTGTTGCTCCAACTTTAGAATCTGCCTTGGTGTCAGAAGTTGGTGTTTCTCTGACCTTGGAGTCAGGTGCTGGCCGCATTGTGGATTTCCCATCGCGCTCTCCACTTGTTTGCATACGGCCTCTTTTTTTATCTTCTCCATTTATTTTGTACGAGGGTTCAATCAGTAGGAGTGGGCGTCTGGATGTTACTCCAGAATGGTTATATATTGTATCTGCAAATGGTACATTGTCCAAGTCGGTGTCGCTATACATTTTCTGAACTGTACGAATTGGTGTGGCAAGTCGGGCCTTATGATGGCTAATGACTCTGAGAAGATCCAACAGTATAGCTTCCTGTTCATTCAAACATTCATTATACGTAAAATGAGCAATGGTCTCACAGAGAAAGAAATCATAATGTAAAAATGCATTGTAATAGTTAGACTAAGGAGTTATGGGTCATAGTACAATTATTATATAAAGTGGGAAACAAACTGAATGATGTACTCCGGTCAGACTTATATTGCCAGACAATGAATCTGGAACACACATTCAGGCAAGTACCAATCTGATTTCAGAATCAGAGTACGCCAGGAATACATATTCATTCTGCCATTTTGTTAATGGCAATTTGTGTGCCATCATTGGTAATGGCACAAAGAATCCCACCTCATCTTATTAATTTTTCTGTTAATTTTCTTGCATCTGTAAATGACTGACAAAGCCGTTAACTGTTGTGTCATCTTTCATGCTTTGTGTTATTCAGGATCTCAGAGGAAATACGATACGGGGTATGGTATATGGTGCCCTATTATCTTATTGGTGTTTCAAGTGTTAGGTCTTTGCACACCAATGGCATTATCACCTTAGACATCCATGAACAAACTTCAAACCTATCTGAATACAATTTTCGGATGAAGCAGAGATTTCTAGATCCCAAATGGGAGTAAGTTTCCAATAAAGGAAATATATTTTAAATGAGACAGGAGTGTTTGGGAGCTAAGCCGATTGATACTCCTATGGATCCTAAAGTCAAATTTGATAATGAAGCAGGGGAACTCCTAAATGACCCAGATGTTATTAGTTTCAGATGCTGACTGGGCAGGTGTCTACGTGGGTAATTCTATCTCCTGTTGTTGTAGTGGGTTAGGAAGTAAAAAAGAAAAGTGTGCTTGTGACATCATCTACAGGCCAATTACAGGCAACTCACACGACATGTGAGATTTTGTAGGTAAAACCCTTTTTCTATACAAGAAATGGGTGCATGTGACAGCACTCTATGAGAGTGTTTCGTGATAATCAAAGTCTAATTTGATATTTCAAGAGAGGATGAGACATACTGACAAGGATTGTTATTTTGTGAGAGATAGGACTGTGAAGAAATGGACAGCAAGTAATTCAATATTTCAACTCAACATGTATATTGCAAGTAATTTGACATTTCATGAGGTTATGAAACATATTGACATGGAATCCATGGATTGCTACTAAGAGAGAGAAAGGACTATGAAGAAACATATTACTACATCTTATGTCAGGTCAAAGGATGAGTCGGGAGATATCTTTAGCAATGATTTTTTTTTGTCTTAAACATGATTTAGGGAAAGGAAATCTTTCTAACATTTGTAAAAGGTTTGGCATGACAGTTATTTATCCTCCAGCTTGAGAGGGAGTGTTGTAGGTTATGGATCATAGTGTAATCATAATATAAATGGGGTTTATGAAATTAACTCAAAGATATCTTTATATAAATATATCTAGGGAGCCGACATTAAGAGGGTGATGACTCTCCTCTTTCATTCACATTATTCTCTCTTTTTCTTGCTTACTTCATCATGTAGCGTAACATAAAAAGCTTCTAATACATCCATCAAATCCCCATATTTGGATTAGGATTGCATTACCGTTAACACAATAATTGTCTCAAACCTCTAAAGCGTCTGGCCCAAAGAAAGAAATACAAAATAAAATCTAGATTCTCTGAAGTGGTTATCCCATAACAGCAAGCATTTCAATCATGCTACGCAAACCACCTAAGCATCCCTAGTCTTATTAACTAAATGTGTCTCAAGAACGAAATTGTTGACATGCAAGGTATGGGGTGAAACATGCCTTATTTCAACGTAAGAAAACAGTTTCTACTTAATTGGTTAAGATATTTTATCATCTTTCTTCCACATTAGCATATTGTAATTTAACTTAATTATGGTAAACTGAAGCCAGCTAATTAGAAGGTAGAACAGCTCTACTGAATCAAAATGCTCTTACCTTGACGCATAGATACTCTTCATGATGTGATGTCTTCACAAAACAGGAAACCAAGATCTGCAATATGCACAAAATAAGAAACTTATGTACACATATGTATGTAGTTGAAAGTTAAAACACATATAATTGTGAGGACAATAATATTTAAAAATATAATTTTATTGTTGAGCCTATGGACACACGCTCATTGCTTCACTTGTTGAACACTTATGCATACATATATAAGATTTTCAAATAAAAAATTACTTACAATATGTAAGCAGGATGACTAGTTTGGAGTGCCAACAACAGTTTTTTTTTATGGTTTTAGGTTTATGTACTCTCTCTCTCTCTCTCTCTCTCTCTCTCTCTCTCTCTCTCTCTCTTAAACAATAAAACAAAAACATTAACAGGGAACCATATCAAGACTAGTGTGCCCTTCCCACATAAATGAGAAATTAACTCGATATCTAAAAAAACAGAATCAATAAATAACTAGCACCTATGAACAGATGTGGATGTAGTAAATAATTGTAAGAACATAAAATTGTTTAACACTAACCAAAAGAGCTTGATTCTCAGGAGTAACATTATCCAGAAATACTCTTCTATGCAACCTCTGCTGCTCAACTTGAGGATTCTTGGACAAGACTTTGCGCATGTCAGCAACAATATTCTGCACAAAGATTAGGGAAACCAACAAGTAACACACTCAGCATGCACACAATTACATCAATGTTCTGACAACCAGACCAGCCATCAAACCAGAAGAGGAGAGGACCAAAAGTCAGAGATTGAACTGAGATCATCTGACTCCTTATATCTTACGTATTGAAGAAATAGTTAATCTTACTCCTTACATTTATCTTATGGACATCCAAGTGACTTATAGCAAGGTGAGTTTTGATACGCCAATGAGTTTTTTGACTGAGATTTCTCACGACATTCACTGTGAACTGGTGGTTTGGAATGTGAACTGCTTCACGGTCTTCACCTCTAACAATTGTTGGTGACCACCAACCCACATGCTACACACAACAAAAGAGTCCCAGATTACTACGGTAATCTATAATTTCAGCAAACAAATGTTAATAAAATTGGTCATGTAACTGCATGGTTTCGTGTCTGCATTATTACCAGTTTACAAATATGCACAATATCTGTACCCAAAAAAAAAGAAGCATTAATATCTTTCTCTAGTCTCCCTCCAACTGTCAGTTTATCCTAGTGCATGAATGTTCAATCTCAAATACAAACCTCAACAGTGCCAGATACTTCATATCCTTCGATTTTTGTTTGAATCCATTCATTCACAACAAAAGGCCGAGTCGCATGAATCATTGCACTTGACAGGAAATTTGTGAAGATCTAGATTTAAAAAGAAGAGGTCAAACAATGATATAAACTTGGATATTTAAAGGAAAATAAGAACATCTCATGAAAGAGAGTTTCAGGGTTTCACCTCACGACCAGCCAGCGTCAGTAATACTGTCCCAAGACCTCCTGCAGTAAGCCACTTTTGGGTAGAGAAACCTAGCAACTCCATGAATAATGAAACAGCAGCAACCCATACTGCAGAGTAAACAGCCTTCCCAGCAAATTGAAAACCCATCTGCACAAAATGAAAGAGCTCATTCTTTATGGAAATAACTACAATGCATTTCATGGAGAGAGAGAGAGAGAGAGAGAGAGAGAGAGAGAGAGAGAGAGAGAATGGCAGGTGGGATCCCTTGATAACCACTAGCATAATTTGACTATTCAGCAAAATAAGACCCAGATGTCATTGCAATTAATCAAGCATATTTGTTCATACTTGTGTGCCTCTTCAATAAGGCATACCAAAAAAAATGAAAAGCCAATGAGTGCAGGAATATAGCCCATAAGCTAGAAGATAAGAAGAAAAAAAAAAAAAAAAAAAAAAAAGTAAAAATCATAAGAAATTTAGAATCCCCAAATCAGATAATAACTTGAACAATTATGGCACGTAACACATACATTTCTGGTATCACCGGAGTCACTAGTCTCCATGAAATACTTCTGTGCTTGTTGAATCACACTGCATGAAAATATTGCAATTAGATATCAAGAAAGCAACTGTCCAGCAGGGTTACAAATTGGAGACTGTCAGCTGCACTAAAGAGCACAAATCAATACAGCAACTATATATCATGGAAAGCTTATGGTTGATTGGTCCAATGAAACATCAAGAAATTAAAAAGACCTAAGTATTGGTGATCAGAAACACAGTACTTAAAATGTTCAGAAAAAATCTTCAAGTGGTCCAACAGTTATACTCTGCTATATTATTGTTTGCTGACAACCTAATCAAGCATTTTCAAGACTAAAATAGAAAACAGGCTGACCTTGATAAACAATAGGCAAATGCCAGAACAGTTGACAATGATCTTATAAAATCCAAAAGACGTTGCTTTACAATCTGGCTAGCTTCTGTAGGTAGAACAACTGGATCCAATGCCCTGCAAGAAAACCACTATGATCAGTACATTACCTAACTGGAATAGGCTTCACATCAAAAATTAAAAAAAAATATTATTTCTCCAATGTTCTGTTGTGAGGGAACTTCAGGGCCCATTTGGAACTTTTTTCATGTTTGGTTTCAGTTTTTAATTTTTGTTAGAAATAGAGGGAAAATATATGGGGGAAAGGAGGGCAGTAGGAGAGAGGAGGGAGAAATGAAGAACATATGAAACAAAAAATTGAAAAAGAAACTACTTAAAATTATATCAAATTTATAGTTTTCATTTTATGAACCATTTCAAATATAATTCTTCCACCTCCCTCCCGCCACCCTTCTTAATTCCTCCTTTCTCACATATATTTCTCTCTCTCTAACCAAAAACCAAAACCGAATTCACAAAGACCATTAGTCACCTGTGTTTTATCTTTTATGGGGTACATACACTAATGCCTTAAAACAGTTCTGGAATACATACGGTGCTGGAAGGAGAAGTTTGGTTGATGGGGAAGTAGAGTGGTTTCAAGGCTGTTCCACCTTTATGATAATGATCACATAAATGAAGGAAAAGAAAATAGTCAAAATTGTAATGGTGTTGAGTTCTCTTTAATAACCCAAAATTTCTAAACCCATTGGTTGACTGAATTTATCCGTTTTAGACAGTATTCCTTCCTTATCTTCTTCAGAGCTTTTAGATTTTCTCATTTTTCTAACTGTAAATTTTGTTTTGGCGGAGGGACTTCCCATGAAGAAGATAAGACATAAAATTATATAATCCAGAAAAATACAACATAGAGAAACCTGCATATGAGTATTGCTCCCATCCATAGCAGCATAGGTTGAATATACGAGGTTGTAACATAATGAGTATTACTCTTTTTCCAACTACCATCACTTTTCTGCAGAATAGTATGAAAAATTGGATAACATTATCAGGTGTTTGTCCAATTCATAAACACAGGCAAAATGAACTGCACTATTATTTAAAGCAAAAAGAGAACACATAAAAGGATAAACATACATGAAGTATCAGATTTCTGCTCAGGCGCATAAGTGGTGCAAGACCCCATATGGCAAAGGTAATAATGCCAACTGATGGAATCAATTTGAAGACAAGAGGACAACCTTGCAAAGCATTATATGACCTGCATAATAAAACAAATGACTGTTTATAAAATTTAGCAAAGAAGAGTCTACAAATCACAAATGTAGAGCACTAAAGATTACAGCATTTGACATCATGTACAACTAATAGAGACATGAAAGCCTGCATTTAAAATGCACCCAGCTGAACAACAGAGAACACGAGAAGCAAGCAAAAACACCAAGATATCCGAACTCGATATCCCTCTACTTATCAGACTTTAGTATTCATATCTAAGTAGTTTTATTGCAATCGACCATCACTACTGGAGATTGAAATACTATTTTGAGCAGTCTGTTTGTTGCTTATAATTAGGTAGAGTCAAAACATATTAATGGCATGATACATCAAAACACCATTCTAGAAACTTATCCGGGTCATACAAATACCTATGATCAGGGGAAAAACGTATGCAAATTGATTTCCAAAATAAAATGATGCCATGCTCATATATTGGTAAATGGTAATAGGGTTGCTTATGTTTAAACTCAAGCAGAAGTTATCAAATAATGTTTTCAAGACAAAATCAAAAGAATAACATAAGTAGAATGAAAGATTGAAAGGAAACTAAAGAGTAAAGCTACAGAAGCTATCGTAATGCACAAACCATAGTCATGCATAAGTTACCAAAGAATTTTAATATTAAAAAACCATAACTATAAGGCACACATATGACATGTTCATACACACTTAAGCAAGAAACAAAAATTACCTTGTCAACACCATTGCAGCTGTCTTCAAGCCGTGTTGGTCAAATGGTTGGCCTGATGTTAGCGAAGAATGGCACTTAATGCATGATAGCTGTGAGACACAGTATGTAAGGACCTGTATCCATTGTCTGATAAACGGATACCCCAAGAATCCTGCTTCTGAAATTGTAACACAGGAGATAAACTCAAAATCTTTGCTGCAAGCCTCTAAACTTCCAAAATATGAGAGCATCACTAAACGAGTATTCCTATATATACGTGTGTTATCTTGCCACACAGTCTAGTAAGAGAATGTTTCCCTATATATACCATCTACAGTACTCCAGACAAGTAACTCAGCCATCATTTCCCCATACAAAAAATTTACATATCCATCTGTTAAATGGGCGAGAAAACAAGTAATAGAATGAAGTACATCAGAATGGTCAAATTTTTTTATATATGTTAGGAAAACTAATAGAATGTGATGATAGCATGTGATCACTCTTCCTCTGTCCCAATTGGTCCTATCCATTTCTAGGGTTTAAAGTAATAAGGCATGAATCATACCGCAAATCGTGATGTAAGGGCAGTGCTTAATGAATGTAACTTGTCCCTTCCTATTCCACTCTGTGAAGAATGAAATTACTTTAGGATAAAAAACAATCTCTGGATAATAGTGCAATAGAAATTAAAAAAATAAAGTTTTAAAGTACCTTATATTGTTCTCGGTACCTCTGATTCTTGCAAAGTCCCAGTTGATGGGACAATTGCAATGAACCAGCAAGAACCATTATTGGGTTGAAATTACCACGTCAGATCATAACACAGCTCAAAAACAGAGTCTTCAAAAGTCAATTGATATTTGATTAAGTGATCAAGTAGTCTTTCACAACATTGCAACCCCGGAACTAGCTTAAGCTAATCAAATATTCTAACAAGGTCTGAAACAGGAAAAACATATCATCACATTCAAAGCTAAACACAATAACACTTCTAAATAAAATAAAATCTAGTGAGTGCTAAAATATTAGTAATTTCTTGATGCACGAACTAGCACATAATAGACAAAATATTAAAATGGAAACATGGTAGTTTACCAAAATTCATGACTGACCCATCAACTTTAGTAACATGTTCACCGAACAGTGTAGGGAAATCCATCCATACACATTCTATTTTACTCTGTAATCTTGTGCTAACATATTTGGTTTATTTACAAGCCTTCATGTTACAATCGAAAACCTCGCCGTGGCTAATATTTGGTGGGTTTGCCCTTCTCAGTGCACCACCCTCTAACTTAAATCTCATCAACACCTCCTAGTGGATGCATTAATTTCTCTACCCACAGGAATGCTAAACTTTTAATAATCAAATCAAACAATCAATTGAATTCATACGATAAATTTCAGTTCAAAAGTAACTCTCACTGTAAAATTTCCACTGACCCAAACCCCAAAATTTCCCCTCCATAAAAGGAGTTTGGCACAAGTTCTTGAATTACACGTTTATATAATTCTAATAAACAGCAAAACATACAAAAAGGAAAGGAAAATCTGCAGGTGAGGTTAATTCAAAATTCAAAATTAATAAGAGAAACCCTTCCTCCTCACTGACATGATATACAGAAAGAGTTTCAATACGCAAAATCACATTTCAACTCAATAAATTGAGACTCCGCCATGAAGATTCCCATGGCGTAAAGAATTAGCAAGAAATTTCTGGCTTGAAAATTGGAGTCAAAGAGATTACCTCGTAGACTGAAAAAAGGACGAAGGGGAAACTCCCAGGCTTCGGAGGCTTTCAATGGAATTTCGAGGCTGGTTTTCCTTTTCTTCAATGGGGAGCCCGAAGGCGACGAGATGACGACAGATGGAAGAATTAAAAATTAAAAATTATGCAACGCCCTTGCAACTTTGCAGAATCAGTATTCGTTCTCTTTTGAGAAAAATGGTGATTCTATTTGGACCCCCTCAGTATTCATTATATTTATTCTCCAACGCTCTCGCGGACTTGCGCCTTGAACTTTTGGGTTTGTTCCATTTTAGTGATTTTCATAGGAAATATGCGGCTTCAGCACTTGGCTCCTATAAATACAATTTTTAGTCGCTATTTTGAAAACTTTGCATGAATAGAAGGTGTAAAAACAATTTTATTGACCAATTATCACTTGAGGAGCTCAATCTGCGTGAAATTGAGAAATAAAAGTCATGTTCTTTCTATGCATCATTTTCACATCACAAGCTGAAATCCTATAAATCAGTATTTTTAAATCTCAATTCACTCATATTCAATAATGGGAACATTTTTTCCTTATCACTTTAACCCAATGTGCATCATTACCACTCTTTTTAACACTTGACACATATTCATAAGCATAATCATAGTTCTACACATACAAAACAAATAGTTATCTATGATTATGCTCATGGACACGTGTCGAGTATTGAGAAGATCGATGAAAATACACATTAGATTAAAGTGGTGAGCAAAAATATTTTCTTCAATTTCCCATTATATTCACAACACCCACTTAGTCTACCATTTCTTGTCTCCCTCTCTCCTCTATATCTTATATGTTCTATGTGCCTTCACAAAATTCCAACTAAAGATTATGGTAAGCAAACTCCGCCTATGGAAGAAAATGTAATAATTACACTGACAACATCGAGCATAATGTAAATAGTTGAACAACTAAGCAAAAATGGATCAAGGAAGATGAGTAGGAATTAACGAGAATTGTAGCCAAACAATGCTTTAACTCCATTCCATACATGTGTTTCAATAATTTCATAAATTTGTTACACAATAATTTCTGGTTTGGTTAGTGTTCTTTTGTTATTTAATGGGTTTATGTGTAATGATTTTAAACTTTCATGGGGTGTTAATGAAATTTTCAAAACCTCAAGGATTTAGGTGAAATACGAAAGATACAAATTCCCAGACGAGAAAGATTGGCCCAATCTCGGCGACCCACGTAGAGTGAGAGAGAGAGAGAGAGAGAGAGAGAGAGAGAGAGAGACAACTATGGGAGACGAGGAGAAAGTGAAGAACGAGGCTCTCCAGATAATCGGGCAACACCAGAACTTGCCCACTCTTGTCGTCTTCGATCTCGATTACACTCTCTGGCCCTTCTATTGCGAGTGCTGCGATGAGGATGAAATGCCATATCTCTATCCACAGGCCTCAGCCATATTATATGCTCTCAAAGACAAGGCCATTTCCATGGTTGTTGCTTCAAGGTCTCCAACTCCTGATTAGCCAAATCATTCCTTCAAACATTGGGCATCCACTCCTTGTTTGTGACCCAGGTTTGTGGTGACCCATTCAACCTTTTCTTTTTCTTTTTCTTTTTCCTCTATTGATTCAATTTCAATTGCAATGTTTCTATATTATGCATGGTTTCTTTCTTGGGTTTTGTAGGGGTCTTTTTTTTAAAAAAAAAAAAAAAAAAAAAAAAAAAAAAAAAAAAAAAAAAAAAAAAAAAAAAAAAAAAAAAAAAAAAAAAAAAAAAAAAAAAAAAAAAAAAAAAAAAAAAAAAAAAAAAAAAAAAAAAAAAAAAAAAAAAAAAAAAAAAAAAAAAAAAAAAAAAAAAAAAAAAAAAAAAAAAAAAAAAAAAAAAAAAAAAAAAAAAAAAAAAAAAAAAAAAAAAAAAAAAAAAAAAAAAAAAAAAAAAAAAAAAAAAAAAAAAAAAAAAAAAAAAAAAAAAAAAAAAAAAAAAAAAAAAAAAAAAAAAAAAAAAAAAAAAAAAAAAAAAAAAAAAAAAAAAAAAAAAAAAAAAAAAAAAAAAAAAAAAAAAAAAAAAAAAAAAAAAAAAAAAAAAACAACAATCGACAACTGCTAATTTTGACATCATCATTACTGATTAAAGAAAGTCTAGAATTTATAAAATTGCTAGTGGAAGGGAAAGAAGAGGACAAATCACAAAACGGAAACAAAAGTAGATCCGTTACAGCAGAGAGACACATTTTAATTTTATTATTGTATATAAATATAAATAATTAATATATATTAGGTCTGAGTCTCAGCTCTGGCTGGTGCTCTGGATGCTTTTGATGCATGGGGGGCTCGGGGTTTGAGAGAGAAAGAGAGAGTGCTCGAATCTCAAACACTTGCAAAAACCCTAAAGACCAAAAAGAATGGACAAATTAATATCCACTGTCCTTTCATGCCATTGCCATGCAGGTCCAGTAGATTTAAGCTTTGCTTGCTCTAGCCGTTTGCATGAAGCATGAAGCTCTTACAAATTACAGTTAAAGTGTGTCAAAGTAAAAGGCTGTTTTGTTTAATTTAATTCAACTTTGTGATGCACGATTACACGTGATTTGGGATATGTTTGTAGTAAAAAGTGTTTCACATTTGGTCTTGAAGAATTTTTGGGAGCCAAACCCCATAAAAGAGGAGGAGGGTGGTGGTGGTGGTGGAAAGGCTAACACAGACAGAGAGAGAGAGAGAGAGAGAGAGAGAGAGAGAGGAGCATCTCTAGGAGAAGAAAAAAGGGTTGGAAATTTGTGTTGGTAAAGTCTAGAAAAGGGAAAGATTCAAAGATCATGTTTCTTTTAGATCTTGTTTTGGTTTGAAACCCTACTTTTTATGAATGCAGGATTGAGTATCCTAAGTAGGGAAGCTTTAGAATTTTTTTCCATTCAATTTTATTTGACAACATGTGGTTGGAATGGAAACTTTGAATGTTGGTGTGCCTAATTTGAATGACCTTCGATAAAATATACGAAGGTGAATGATTGATTTTGGAATTCTATGACCTAATATTATTAGGGATTCCATTTGATTTTGCAGTTCGATCAAAAATAATAAGCCCAACACAAAACTCATTTAATTCATGGCATACGTCAATAGTTCATTTAAAGTATTTAATATTTACCTCCAATTATTCTTTTTTTCCTGACATTTGTGAAGAATTATTGGTGATAATAACTAGCATAATGTGCTTAATTTAATGTCATTTATTATGAATTATTGGTCATAAATGAATACTCTAAAAAATTATTAGTACATGCCATTTCTATAATTTCTATCCCACTTTTCTTCTTCACATACGAAATTTGTAGCCCTATTCACCTTACTCCAAAAAAAAAAAAAAAAAAAAAAAAAACTAATAGGTAACTAAAACAAGTATATTGATCATTGTTCACACCAGTGACTAGTGGAGATGGATATTGATAGGGAGAGGGAGAGAGTGACACCGGGACATGGAAATTTCTCTCCTGAGTTGAGGGTATATTTGACTTGGGACATGTGCATGCATAACATACAATTAGAGTGAGAAAGGCCAAAAGTACCATGGTGATGCCGATTTCTGAACCAAAACGGTTAGTTTTGATCATCTGCTGAGATTGCACAGAGCACGCGACTTTCTCTAAGGTGGAAAATGACAAAGCCATTGTCCATCGGTCATTCTTCACCAACCACCTCCAACATCTACACCTACATATTTACCCCTTCATTTCATTCATTCCCAATTGCCAATTGCCACTAAGCTTCCTTTGCCTACCCTCTTCTTCCAATATAACATTAAATAAATTCATAAATAAAAGAGAAATTCATCCCAATCTTATTCCACCAAATACATTTTGCATTTTACAATCACTTGTCATGTACACATCCAAAGAGCTTTAGATGATCTCAAGTTCTCAACTATTAGTTGGTTGCAAATGTTTCACTTATCTAATCATCACAAACTCATGACGACTCGTTAGACAACAAATCTAATTACTTGATATTTATCCTAATAATTTTCTCGTGTATCTGCGGCGCTATATATATCAAATTATGATAAACTATTCAGTATTCACTTGATATTTACTATACAATGATAGTTCAGTTATATCTATTAAAACTCGATTCGGGTGGCGAACATACTAAACTCGATTCTGAATTTGCATATGGTATCCCCAAGTCTTCCTTTTCAATTGTTGAGTTTCTTACCAAGCTTGTAAATTCTTTTAGGTATGGCATTAAAACGGTACATAGTCCTTTCAAAAATGCAATGGGGTCAGATTCAACTAGTAGTAAACAATTGGGCTTGTAAGAATTGGAGTATTTGACTTAGGATCACCCTTTGAAAAAAAAATTATATTCGTAAGGGTTAATGAGCCCATTAAACTATACCGCATGTTCGTAGGGTACAGCTTATATGTTCACAAATTAAATATGTAATCTCCCTACAGTATTTTGTGGAATCATTAATTACATCATTGCTAATTATATGAGATAATCACAACCAAACCAAATTATCCTCGTTTCTCAATAAAAGGATTACTGCTCTTTAATACTTAAAAGCCACATTGCAGCTTCTAGTTTGAGTAGTAACACTTTATTTTACACACTTATGATAAGAGTTCAAATCTCGCTCCCACTATTTTTTAAATAAAAAAAGCAAATAAAAGTTACTTTTTAATTAACAAGTCTTCGACACCGATTCCATTAGGCCCCGACCTTCTAATTGCTTGCCTATTGAGGCATATTCATGCACTTCATTTAATATTTTCACACCTTCCATCACACTGTTATCCAACTTTAAATTTTTGAAATCAACTCTTATGTAAGAGCACTTCCAGCAGTTGGAATCTTGCCATGGCAAGGGGGGGGCTAGGGCTGATACTATTCACGGGAATAGTGTCTGCCCTTGCAAAAAGTAAATTGCACTTCCAGCAGTTGCCATGGCAAGGGGGAATTTTTTTGTTTTTTTCACAAATTGTTTACCTAAACAATTAATTTGGACAATATTTTCGGATGAGATTTTTTGATAAAATATTCGGATAAGATTTTCATATAAGATTTCCGGTTTCAAATTTCAGATAAATTTTTAGAGTTGAAAGTGAAAAAAATTTAGAGTTGAAAGTGAAAAATTATTGAGTAGAAAGTGAATAATTAAACTTGAAAGTGAAAAAAATTTAGAGTTGAAAGTGAAAAAATATTGAGTAGAAAGTGAATAATTAAACTTGAAAGTGAAAAACATTTAGAGTTGAAAGTGAAAAAATATTGAGTAGAAAGTGAATAATTAAACTTGAAAGTGAAAAAAATTTAGAGTTGAAAGTGAAAAAATTATTGAGTAGAAAGTGAATAATTAAACTTGAAAGTGAAAAAAATTTAGAGTTGAAAGTGAAAAAATATTGAGTAGAAAGTGAATAATTAAACTTGAAAGTGAAAAAAATTTAGAGTTGAAAGTGAAAAATTATTGAGTAGAAAGTGAATAATTAAACTTGAAAGTGAAAAAAATTTAGAGTTGAAAGTGAAAAAATTATTGAGTAGAAAGTGAATTTGTTGTTAAAAGTGAAGAGTATGGATTGGTATTTATAGAAAAAAATTCAGTATTTTTTGGGGTTTTTAAAAAATTTTTACGATTTTTTTTCATAATTTTTTGCCTTGAAAAATTCCAAGCCGTTGGATTGGATGAAAATTCGAAAATCGGAAGGACCAGATCGCGCCATGTGGCAGCAGAAAGGAAAAAAAAATTGCACCTGCTGACGTCACGCTGACGTCAGCCTGCTTTCAGGCTGCTGCTCGGGCAGCCCTTGCCTTCGGGCCAGCCCAGGCAAGTGGACCCCACACTGCCCGGGCCAGCACTTGTTGCTGGAATGCCATTTTGGGCTCTCCCCCCCCCCTCCAGCCCGAGCCCGAGTGGGCTGCTGGAACTGCTCTAAGTTATTAAATTTCTACACTCGCGCATAGATATATAGATTTTTCACGAGTTGTACTAACTAAAGATTGTCATGAATGACTAAAGATTGTGAGGAATGCAATATTTCACGTACATTAACCTTTATACCATTGAATTACTTGTCGAAAAGATAATAGTAATTAGAATAGCATCTTATACAAAGAAATGACATGAATATTATTATCTGTATTTTTTTTAATACCTTAAAAGACCTTGAGTTCATGATATTTGACAAAAGACAGGTATGCGTTATCAGAAGCCAAGACACCTTCGAAATAAATCCTAAAAGCCTAATCTTTATCCCTCATCAACTGAACAAAGTTTGGTTTGTATTTTGTTTTTATTCTGTCTTTTATATTATTTCGTTATATTTTGATTTCCCAAACCAAAAATAAATTATAAAAAGAACAAATTGTTTGGTTTTCTTTTGTGGGCTTGGTTTTTTATTTTTGGTTCTGTATCTCTACGAATCCACAACCTACTCTCCCCCAATCTCACGTTTACCCTAAACCCACATGCTCAGTTCCTACATAAAGCTCCTCTCTTTGCATATAGTCTCTCCCCAAACACCTCTCTCTCTCTCTCTCTCTCTCTCTCTCTTCCTCACTCTCTTTGTTTGTATCTATACCATATTCACACTTTCTTTATAGACTCCCTCTTCTTCTTCTTGGGTCCTGTTTTACAATGAAAATGCCATCTTTGATAAAACCCAGACTCTAATTTGATGAGATTTTCTTGGGTTTTCCAAGGCATATTGAGGTGCTCCAATGGCAGACAGCTTTGACTGTGCCAACTCAAACCTTCTTTGTGCAGAAAACTCAGATACCTGCTTTGATGATCTTAATTCTAATACCATAGATGACTTGGGGCTGTTCCCTTCAATGCCCCATAAAATCAATAATACCCACAATCAAGACCCCAGTTTTAATCATAATAGATCCAAATCTATGATAGATTTTCCGTTACAGAGTGAAGAAGGGGTTAGTTCAATGGTTAAGAGGGAGAGTGAGCATTTTCCCAGAGACGATTACCTCAAGAGACTGCGCAATGGGGACTTGGACTTGAGCAGTAGAAGAGAGGCCCTTGATTGGATTTCGAAGGTTGGTCTTATTACTTTTCTTTAAATTTTACCTTTTTTTGTTCCATTGGTTATTGCTTATCTTATAATGATTTGGACTTTTTACTAGTTTTTGCGATTGTCATTCAGGTTTCTGCAATTGGGTTTTGTTCTTCAACAGCATCATAAAACATTTGTTTACAATGTGACTTGTTTGATTGTTGTCGATATGTTCTGAATGTATCTAAGTTGTTGGGGATCAATGATCATGAGCGATTATTCCTAATCTAGTTCTCTGTGGCATCTCGTTTGTGTTCTAAAATTGGATATTGGTTTTCCCTGTATGTTTGCCCAGTTACTTCCTCACTTATGTTTCCCTTGTTTCTGATTGATGATGTCCCTTTTGCTTGATTACTGAATTAGGTTGACTTCTTTTCTGTTGTGATCAACAGGCTCATGCCCATTACAGTTTTGGACCATTGAGTGTTTGTCTATCTATGAACTACTTGGATCGCTTCCTTTCACTTTATGAATTGCCTGTAAGTTCAGAAATTGGACCCAAAGTTTGCTTCTTTTGTTATCGGTTCAATTTCAAACAACGTGTTTTCATTTATGGTGTTTCTGTCCTTGATTTTTCACTTCACTGTTCTTGTACATACAGAGAGGTAAAGCCTGGGCCGTGCAATTGCTAGCTGTGGCTTGTTTATCAATAGCAGCCAAGGTGGAGGAGACTACTGTACCTCAGTCTGTGGATTTACAGGTATTGAAATCATGTGCATTGATTTACAATGGTTGACTTGCAAATTTGATATTTTGGAAGCCGCTGTTGATCTCTGATTTACTTACAATGTTGTTGTTCTTATGTGTGGATTGTGCACAGGTTGGAGATCCCAAGTTTGTGTTTGAAGCTAAAACCATACTAAGAATGGAGCTTCTTGTGATGAGCACTCTAAAGTGGAGAATGCAAGCTTGTACTCCCTACTCTTTCATTGACTACTTCCTCAGCAAGATAAGTGATGATCAACATCCGTCAACATCATCTATCTGTAGATCAGAACAACTCATATTGAGCACAATAAGAGGTTTATTTTTTTTTACTGACTGTGAATGAGTTATATTTTGTAGTTTGATGTTCTTGAGGATTAATGGGTTCAATGAACTGCTGGATGGGAAATAAATGCAGGTATTGACTTCTTGGAATTCAGGCCTTCTGAAATTGCTGCAGCAGTGGCAATTTGTATTTCAGGAGAAACACAAGCAGTAGACATTGATAAAGCCATTTCTTGTTTCATGCATGTAGACAAGGTAAAAAGGTTGTTTCAGAGATGCAAACCATGATAGGACAAATTTGCTTTAGCTAATAACAAAGTATCCTGGATTTAATATGATCTTTTAATCAATTTAATGATTTCTTGAAGCTCATCTGTTTGTGGGATTTGCAGGTAAGAGTGTTGAAGTGTCTTGAACTGATGAAAGATTTGTCATTGATCAGTGGTTCTACTAATAGGGGAAGCGCCTCTGCTTCATCCGTACCCCAAAGTCCGGTTGGGGTGTTGGATGCTGCATGCTTGAGCTATAAAAGTGATGAATTTACAGTTGGGTCATGTGCAAATTCTTCACATAAAAGTCCAGACATTAAGAGGAGGAAACCAGACAATCCGTCTAAAATGGACTCCAAGTCATGAGATGTGAATTTTTCTCCTTCACAGGCTATCCAATCAGTTTGGTTGAATGGGAGTTTTGGTGTGGTTTTGGAGGTTCCTTATAGTAACACAGAGGAGAGAGAGAGAGAGAGAGAGAGAGAGAGAGATGAATAAAGTAATTTGGAAAAAAAATATCCAGGGGTCTCATGCTTCTAGCATGAAAGTAAACTCACCAGCTGTTTATAATGAGACTACTCAACGGCCATAGATTTTAAAAGCGGTGATGATCCAGGGGTGCACAGCATTTTGAAAGATATGATCCAGTGGTGTTTGGGGAAAATACAGTTTTTTGTTGTATCTACCAGTTCAATGAGAAAGGGATCTGGAACTATATATAGCTGAAAAATATGTTCAAGTTTTTGTTTTTAACATTTTCCTTTCAGTGACAATATAAAGCGAAAAAAAAATAAAATCCAGCAGGAGATCCAATGTTTTATTTTTTAATTGGATGAATGAATTAGTAAATTTGTGGTCCATTTCTGGACAATAAGATGCTGCTAAGTGTTGAGGAGGGAGGAGTTGCTATTGGGATTGACAATGGCTAGGATATGCCCCATTGGCCCCAAATAGGAGGCCCACCATTTTTGTTTTGAGTGGTGACCAGTCAAAATCTGAGCTTTCTCTGTACCGTCATGCAAGTATTTCTAGTCATTATGAAAGATAGTTCCAAAAATAAGCAATCTTGGAAATAAACCCATTATAGGTTGCACCCACAAACTTTTGGCCAAATTAATTAACTATTAAGCGATGTGATTTGATTCGATTTGAACTAAAATGAAGGGTGAAATCAAATAGTAATTAACTGGACTGTTTCACGGTTTAAGCATAGGCTTAATACTATTTTATCTTGGCTAATTCATTTCATAGTTGTTTTGGTCAATTCCGACCTCGTACTTGTAATCATGCGGCTCATAGCCTTGCACGTTTCGTACTTTCTATTTCGGACCTTATAGTTTGGATGGAAGATGGACCTGAATGGTTGTCTCTCATTCTTGCTAATGATGTTATGCTTGCTTCTTAATGCAATGTTATGATCTGATTCTTAAAAAAAAGTCCACTTCAAGCCTTAAATTGTCTAATTAATTAGTACAAACAATTAAAAGTTTTCCTCTTTCGATTGGAGCGGAAGAAAAAAATGTTATTCCGGTCCATTTTAAACAAGAACATTTGTCACTCTTGAACAATAACACCCATGGATGTCACTTCTCTAGCAACCATAGGCCGGCGAGCAGACAGATCACACTCCTACTATCTTGACCACGGTCAACAACCAAACCGATGGGTCATCAGGGAAGGAAGCTCATACGACCACGTCAGCTGCTACAGAGAAGAAGAGGTAGCCTTGTCAGGAGGAGCACGAGGAGTTGGATGCAGAATAAAGAGAGCAAGAGCGACTAAGCTTGAAGGATTACTTTGAGCAAGGAGTTGTGAAATTTTATTTTAAATAAGTCATTGAAGAAAAAATCAAAATTTTAATCATGTTGCTGTTGGAGAATGATATGGTCAATGTCACTATCAAAAAATAACTGGACCGACTTGTTTTTATTTTGAGGTACTGAACCATTTTGTCTTCGTGCCTCTTATTTGTCCTTATATTGTAATAGTAATACTCTTTTTAGGAATTAGGAACTTCAATTTTTTAATGCATATACTTTAGCTAAATTAAGTTAATAAATTTCAACTCAAAAAGATAATTGGTAGGTGCAAGTGGTTTCTTTTAAATATTTTAATAAGTATTTTTTTTTAAAGTCCAACGATAATTGGGGAATTCTTTTGTCTAAAAAGGTATCCCGAATTAAAATGTGGACTTTTAATTAGGTTTTTCCTTTTCCCATACTTTCACTTGGTGATCATATTAATGTAAATTTTAATGAAACAGTAACAGATTTTTTCTTTTGGTAATTGGAACATAGGAAAACTTAGTCGATTTTACCTAATGATGTGGTGCAGTCTATAAAGGCTATTAATACTCCTCTTAATGATACATGAGGGGATTATAAGTCTCAATATTTAGCATGTATTATGTTCACTCATGTCCTATTTCTCCACTCATCATGTAAATTTGAAAAAACAAAATTCTATCTTTCCACCCAATATTATCCCTAAAATACCCTCTACTTATTAATTCAAGCAAATTTTCTATGCTAATCATTAGTAGTTGAGATATGAATTGGATAAGATCAAGTTGTGTTTGACGGACTGGATAAATGCTTTAGCAATTGGGGAACCATATGCTTTCTTCATTTTTTTTCTTTTTTTGTTTTTTTGTTTTTGTCAAACGGTTAGAGTAGGTGGGTTATGTGAGTTGAGGTTTTTGTCCCCAAGTCCTTAGAAATCATTTTACAAAGGGGTACATTTGTCTTTAAAATTTTGAAGATAAAGTGGGTAGGAAAATAGAACATGAGGTGGAAATAGCAACACTCATTTAGCATCAATGTATTTATACACATTTAGAAAGATCTTGACCCTTCAAATTAATCCAATAGATTTTGATGACTCCACGTCAGCATTGTTATATTAGAATGAAACTCACAATTTCCACCTTGGTATCAGACTAAAAGGATTGGGTGAGTTTTTATTTTTATTTATTTTTTATGCAAACAATATTGGCGTAAGGGGAATTGAATCTACGATCACGAGTGTAGGAATAAGTGATCTTAACCACTTAAACTACAACAAGCCCTTCGCAAGGATAGGGTGAGTTTTAGTCTAATACAATTATTCTGAATTTTAGTTTAAATGCATTGATGCTAAATGCGGAAAATTAGGATCCATATCAAGGATCCTTATATGTGGCCTTTGCCCAAATGGTAAACTTTTCAGTTAAAACATCTACTCAAATACAACATTTTGTTTAAACTAATTTGTATAAAATTAGAATTTGGAAATTAAAATTACCGCATAAAAATAAAATATTTACTTCGCTATTGTCACAACATAGACTTAATACTAGGGGAATGTTATGTAATTTTTCTTTGATTCCCTCTTCGTGTGTTCTTTGTGATACATAATCGAAATTCGTGTCTCATCTATTTTGAGATTGTCCTTGTGTGTTTGAATCTTTGGAATCATTTACGAATTTTTATTAAATTTCATCCCAACTTAAATACTGATATTATTCATTGGATTATCACTAATGGGTCTTCTTTAGTTTGGAAATCTTTTTTACTTTTTTTGTGAGGAAAATATGGGATGCTATATTAATTGATTTTTGAAATGCGAATAATAGTGTTAAGCAAAGAGGAAAAAAAGGGTAGAACTAAGGAAAATTTTGATTACATGGAAACCTCCTTTGTTTGATTATTTTAAATTAAACTCTGAAAGTTCAGTTAAGTATATGCAACAAACACCGACTAACTTTTGGTCTAGTGTATTTGTCTCCACTTGGTTAGAACTTAAAAGAATGTTGACCTATGTGGATAATGAAGACAATATACATTTGTGATGAGTTTGATACCTAAATAGTTGTGGTTAGATTCATTGAAAAACAAAAAGTAAGGTTTCTTACCTAACAAATTCAGGTGATTACATCATAAACAAACTCATTCTCTAATTAATTAGTTTTGCATACGATTTGAAGATGGTGGGTGTGTTAGAAGGTGATTGATCCAACCATTTACAATTTTTATCACGAGGTTAGCAAACCCATCTAACTATCTAAAGAAAACAAACGTAATAAGTTTAATTACCATCTAATGAATGCAACATTTTAAAATAATATTATTTATATTACATGCAATTTTGTTTGAATTTTTCGAAGCATGAAAGCATCTTACAACCAGGCAGCACTCACTAATATAAATAAAGAAGAAGGATTATAAATTATAATGAGTTACATTGACTGGTTTAATTAGCAATAGCAACAGCTAAGCATGGTCAAATAGTGTTGTTATAAAGTTATTTACCAAAAGGAACCAAAAAAAAAGTATATTAAAATTAAAGCATTTGTAATGACAGAGCGACAGTGTACCATACATCAAGGTATCAAGGATCCCAATATCACATATGCATGGGATATGAGACGAATCGGCAGCAGCAGAAGAAGTAGCAAGAAACGCATTTCTTGAAATTATTAAACAAATCCCAGTCCCATCCCATTTGTCAAATTATTTGGCCACGTCAGTTTGAAGACCATTCTCTCTCTCTCTCTCCTCTCTCTCTCTCTCTCAAGTGTCTGATGTGTGCATGTGTGGTTGCGGGGCCAGAGGTCAGTGACACTGCAAAACTGGGTTCAGGTTGGTAGAGGTTCGGCTCTGCAGGGGAACTTGTTGACTGATAACACAGAAATTCAAGTGCTCCATTTCCTTTCTCATATATCATTGCACATCTCATTTTGTATATCTTCTCTTGTGTCATCTATGCGACAATCTCGAATGCTGTAATGTTCTCTTTATTTTGGATGGTTCACTCAAATACCAAATATATCATAATTTAACATTGGTGCAAGGGACCTGTGTTTTGTGTTCAAATATCTTATTCTCAAATATCGCTTGTATAAAAAAAATATTAATTCAATAGTTTATGCATAGAATTATATTAAGGATGTTATTATGGTAAGAAAAGTGAACTTACTTGTTATAGGGTTATTGAACAGTGTATTCATATTTAAGTTATCTTTAAAGAGTTATCTCTGAGAAATATAGTAATGAACAAATTCAGTTGCTATGTTGCGCATTTGCGGGGCATGTCGACTAACTTCTTTTCCAAGAGTGATACAAGTTCATATTCGATCTATATGTATGTTTTTCTGTGTTGATATTGCACTTATATTAAAACCCTACATCAGTTCATACTTCTATTTTAAGTCTTTGTAATTTAATTATGTAAACCTTGAATACTCTAACGTTGAGCTAAAGTCTTTTTTGCCACAAGCACAATAATCAGAAACAACACCGAAAACATGGGCATAGAAATGACACACACTGTATTATTAAGGCAATTCTAGCAAGCCTGGCACTGACAGTTGGCCACACCACCATTGAACATGCTTTGGAGTTGTAGAAGTTTGGCAATGGGAAATTGAGTTTCGTTTGACCGAGAAAATGAAAGTTGACTGGACGAGAAATTGGTGTTACCAATACCAAGAAAGAACATATATAACTTAATTAATGTAGCAAGGGGAGGGGAAGCAGAGGGAGCAAAACCGAGAGCAAACACTTTTGTGAGAGTGCGTGAAGGAAACTGTAAGAAGTGGGAGGAGGTGAGGTTTGGTCAGAGGCTCAGAAGAATCACAGTCCTTTTTACTTGTCCATCCCTTCTCTGGACGGTAATAATATTAATTAATGTCAAAGTAAAACTAACCTCCTTACTTGAAGTTACAGTTTCACCCATGAGGGTTTAGAAGATGATGTACAAGAGAGAAAAGGTTTCTCATTTTCCATTGTGCCTCTGTTTGTTTTCTGTTTTCTGCTACAGGGTGTGTTTTGTTTGGGGCTATGATTCTTGCACAAATAGTTTTTCATAAATTTTTGAATACAAGCCATATCTTAAACTATAAAGGAATGAAGATTTTTCACATACACATATTATCAAGGTGTCATAGAAATTTCGAACCTAGGGCATTTTTCTACTCGGGTAGAACTCATTGGCAGTTTTTCATAAATTTAAATAATTTACAAATAGAAACTTGCACTCTGCACCATGAATGTCACATCAAATTTTTATGTTTCTTTTTAATCTAAAATTATTTCTTTTTCTGCAAAATCAACTATTCAAACTCTGTTTATGCCTTATTTGGGCAAAACTTTTATCCAAAGGCAGAGAGAGGAAGGGGCTCATCTCATCCTCATATTGGAACAAGTCATTTCACATTGATTTGGTATCATCAGCCAAGTAGGACCAAGCTATAAGCTAGTGTTTGAATTGCACATTTCTAAAGCAGCTGAGGCACATTTTTCTTTTGACCAGATCAGAAGCATAGAATTAACTTATAATATTCAATGAATCCTTGTTTGCAAATCCCATCAACACCAGTCTTAGTACTGTGAACCAAGAAGAGAGACGTAACATGATGCCGAATGAGCACAAAACTATTAGAAATAGACAAAAGATTGGAGAAAGTAGCTACTAAAACTCTACTTGAAGACTTGTAAATATAGGCATCCCAAGTTTTGAGACTAGATTATATATACGAACCCAGTGTGGTTGCTCTGGTTCATCTTATCAGTAACCACATTCAGATTTCTAGGATACAACAATTGATGTACAGAAATATTATAAACCAAAGCACCAATTGCTTGGCTCAGTTTTAACTTTCAAAATAATTAAGAGGATCTGAAGCAGTTATGCTATACACTAAACAAATTTAGTGGAGGGATGTCTTCATCCCTTTGTATTATTTCTTCTGCAGCATGCACGAGCAAACCAGATTCCTTCGCTGGTTTTTTTTTTTTTTTTTTTTTCTTTTGTTTAACTTACTCTTCGAAACTTATACTTCTCAAAACTGAGGCTAATAAGGCCTACGTAATTAGACAAAGTCTGGCTGGCCTGTGGAAGTCAAGCAACGATGCCACATTCGGCTGTTAGGATCTATCAGCCTGGGATGAGAAATGACCTCAGGAATTGGAAGGTACACATAATGAGTGTTGCATGTGCCGACTGTGATTCCACTATACCCAGCGAATGCACCATGAACCTGTTGTAGCCATGCATGCGTATTGAATGTAGTTCAGAGGAGATACCAAAAAATAAGGTCTTGTACTTATTTGTTTTTTTTGTGTGTGTGTGTGTGTGTAAGTGCGGGTGAGAGAGAGAGAGAGAGAGAGAGAGAGAGAGAGAGAGAGAGAGAGAGAGAGAGAGAGAGAGAGACTCACAGCATTTTGTCCTAGCACAGCACAAAGAATTCCATCTGATGCATTTGCACGACATGCACGGATCATGTATGTGGGGTCTATATACTTCACATCAACAGGAACACCAGCTTGTTTAAAATATTTTTTTGTCTGGCAGATGGTTGTAGATGGTTAAGACACCACAAATGTTTCAACCAAATTATGAACCGAACAATTAATCAGAGGAATTGACTTATCAGAATGTCAGATAATTCATATGAAGAGAAACAAAAACTGTTAATTTTTATGACTAACAAAAGTAGGATCAAGACTCAAGAAGACGAGTTTATTGGCTGGTACACAAGCATATTAAAAGTCCTAATGTGACTCAAGATCACCACCATGAGTAAGATAAACATGTTGTGTGTTGGTGACCAAGCACGTTGAGATTCGCGAGAGTAAGAGATTTAAGCATATAAACTGATAAAGCTCATGAGCTTCCATATTAACATCATGCATCTCTATTGCAGAACTTTGTTAACAGTATCTGAATGTAGTTCGCACCTCACCACTGCCTATGTTTATTGTCAAGCCCAAAACATGTCAACTCCGACAAATATATGCACGGCTTGAAGGATTGTACAAATAAATCCAAAAGAGCAATTTGCATCTTCAACCCCATTGAACATGGGCAAGGCTGTCAACATGGCTGAAAGAACCCTAGTGATACAGGACTACGGTATGAGACTTGAATCGAACATATGGCTCCCTTTCCCAGACATAGGGAAAGATGGAGTAAACAAAGTAAAATAGGAAAGAGAATTTGTGCACCCTGTCTAATATAGTGGTGGAACATGGTTGGTAATATTAAGGTGAGTCGACAAGCAGAGTTTCGTCATTGTTTGATGAGAGTCTTAAGCAAATTTAGGTCTAAATAGTATAACCCTATCCAACTTTACTGCAAAACGGCACATTGTCTATTGTCTTGTCAAACGATGACGGAATCTTCTCAATTATTTAATGCATAAAACCTCAACTCAATCATTGCTCACACGATAAATCTGTGAAGCACTTACTGAGAAAAAGAAAAAGCCTGACAGCATGGTACAAGTCTAAAATTGAGTTGGAAGTTCTCATATGCAACGGAAATCATCATAGCCTTAAAACACAATCACCAACCTCTTGCTGAATATGTACGCCAATATCCCCAAATACAACATTTCCAGATGCATCAGTAGCATTGGTTTTCTGTAGTAAATTCTGCATAAAAATAAGCCTACAGCACTCAGCAATTTCAGTTGGTAGATAAGAAAAGCATCAACCATAAAAATAATAGAAAAATTGGTTTGCATGATTTAGACATGGAATCCAAAGGGAAGAAATTATCATTATCCTTATCAGTTAAATATACATTCACCTACAAGCCAAACAAGACATGAAGTTATGACTCTGACTCACCTGCCCTGCTCCCTCTGCTACACAGACCACAGCTGATCCCTTTGTTTGAATTAGGTATTTCAGATGGTGCAAAATACCATGAGGACCGTGCATTTGAAAAGGTACCTTGGATGCACATATACGACTAGCATCAGTGTATGTTTGGAAAAAATATGTAAATAGCATATATCAATAGCATCAGTGCCAGTCTAAGTACCTCAGGTATCAAACATATGTCAATTTGTCCACTAGACAGGGATGCGTGCATTGCTATGAATCCACTGCTACGACCCATCAGTTTTCACAATGCCAACGCCATGGTAAGCACTATGTGCCTATTACAAGATTCAGAAGAAAGATCAGCTTACCATGTAGACATCACTGCCAGGAAAAAAATTGAGCACAAGCCTTACATGAACATAATAAATCCATGCATGAGCAGTAAAAATGATATTGAATAAGTATCATAACTTATTTCTACCTCAATATATGCTGAACTTATTGCACGTTGTGCTTCTTCAACAGCCGTATCAAACCCAAAAGTTTTGTCCATTAGCAAAATATCGTTGTCTATGGTTTTTGGCACACCAACTACAGCCACTCTTAACCGTCTTTTACGGCACTATAAGAAAAATAGGAAAACACAACAAATAAATTAGAACTTAAGAAGATTAAGGAAAACGAAAGAACCAAGCATTCAAACTTACAAAGACTATAAGATTGTCGCAAGTTGGGACCCAATAAAATCCCTCCACAGAATCTATGTTAATATTCCAGTACATCTTTCCCAACCCCTACCAGCATTGGCTAAGACGTTTTAATAACAAAGTAAGATCAGATAGACCATCCCAAACTAACATCTTGTGCAGGTCCTATGAGCGCAATGTTAGAAAATTATTAATTATTAATTAATAAATACCAGATCCCACATATGACATGGTGCACCAGGTCAGTACAGATCCTCAAGCTTACCAACCTCATTGTGTATAGCGTCAGCTCCAGCATGTGTGCCATTTCCACCCAAAACAAAAAGCATATTGATTCCTCTTTCCTGATACCACAAGCAAATACATATATCATAAAACCTTCTAGGAATCATGATGGTTCACTATTACCAATTTCCTCAAAAGAAGCTTTTCAGATAATCACCTCCAAACTGTCCACCATTTCACTAACACTGGGACCTCCACGTGAAACTCCTAACAAGCTTCCTCCAGAAAGATGAACATTTTGAACCACTTTCCTTGATAGCTAAAATCAAATCCGGTTTCAACATATTAGTCTACAACATAAATGTATTCTTGTTGTAAACGAGGAAACATATATTTGTCGTAGAAGCATAGCAATGCTGCAAGAGAATATGTTGATTGAATGGTTCATACTAGACGTCTACTTGCAAGGAAAAAAACAACTTACTGGCATTTCAGCTAATTCTTTGTCAGAAAATCCGCGGTAACCATAAGGAATCCCCACAATCTTTTTTACTCCATATATTTCAAGTGTAATGACAATCTGTAGAACATATATGATTCAAGTATGTTAAATACAATACGTCTTAAGTATGAATACTTAAGGAGCTTATAAGGAAAACAATTAGGGAAAATGCTAAGCTCCAATCATGTGTTTGGTTAAGGAGTACTTCCGGGCCATCCATATCACGTGTTTGATTTCAATGTGGGCATGGAAAACATGTTTTATCAGCAATTTAAGAACTACAATTTATAATACATCATATGAATTATTAAATATACCAATTTCATCAAATAGTACTTCAGGGCCAGTGCTGATAAAAACCACAAGAAAAATACATGTACAATTACTGTTTGATGAAACTGACCTGTCTGATGACGTCATTAAGACCAGGGCATAGCCCTCCGCATGTTACAATCGCTGCTTTCACTTCTTCCGGTTTAAAATATATTTTTTCTCGAGGCCCAGCACGATGAACCCTGGAAATTTTCAATACCATATTCATCATAAATCGCAGTCATCCAAATGAAAATCCAGTATTGCATAAGGAGTTAATACAATATGAAGAGATCCATAAGGAGTTAATATGATATGATTACATTCAATTTGCAATTCTTTCAAGATCTATCATAGCCCAAATGTAGAAAATTTTGAAAAGCATAGAAACATGCGTGCTCCCTGCTGAATATTATGTATAGCAAATTGATATGACTATCAGCTAATGAACACTAAAAGAAAGTTGAAAAAGAAGAGTACTACATTCAGTTAACTCGTCGATTGAAGCGTTGTTGAAGAAAATAATGTCAATTGCTTCAAAATCCTCTAAAGACACATAGCAACATGAGTGAGAACAGCCATTCCAATGGACCACTCCTTGAAGTAGTTCATGCGTCTAAACTTTGAAGTTCAAACGATTCATTTTAATCGGTAGTCATCATCTTCTCTCTCACTCCCACAGTCCCACTCCCCTCACAACAGAAACAAAAACAAAACAAAGTTTGAGAAGAAAAAATATTTAACCCACATCAAGCATGCCCTTGAGATTTCACCCTGTAGAAGGACCACCAATCCCTGTCAAAATGGCCTTGCAGAGAACACCCATAAGCAGTCCCCAAACCACCCACTAGTACTCACAGAAACAGATCTGTTTCTATGTCTGATTGGCAAACCTCCAAGGAACAAAAACATAACCTTACTGGAAATCATCAACTTATTGCCACTGAATAGCTCACGTAGGAAATCCACAAGCAACTATAAGAGAGTATAGATAAATAATTACCATTGCTCCACCCACGTACAGTTAGGATCAATGCATTCAGCACCAGCAGATGTAGGTGACGAATAGTATATAGTCTGAAAATATTGAACAAAAAACAACAAAGCAACTGTCTTTAGCATTGCTCACATGGGAACCACATAACAGAAAAGAACAAAAAAAAAACATCATATTATTACAATTCAATTGGGTTCAACCTAAGCAACAAAAATAAAAAAGGGTACTCTCATAATGAAACGAAGGACCAAAAAAAAAAAGTTTCTCATCATTTCTCAAGACTAGTAAACCCATCAATCAATCATTGACTGAAACAGACTATCACAAAGACTGGTACACTAAATAGTGGTTCAACAAATTCAGATTACGAAATTTTGTAGAAACAGAGATTCATACAAGAATAATAGTTGAGTAATACTTATACATACCTTGAGAAGTACGCGGTCGTTGTTGTTTATGTAACCATGCCACTCTTCATCTGATGGGTAGCCCCCTGCAAAGTCTTCTATCACCGGAGTCCTGCAACATAAATTCAAGCAATTTCAGGCACTCAGAACTAAAAATTCAAAACTAAAGAACAAAAAAAGCAACTGAGTAAGAGAGAGAAGTGACCTCATCCTGAGGCAGAAGGTGGAAGGAATGGGAACAGATTCGGGGAATACGTCAGTGATGTGAGGGATGTTGAAGCGCCTCTCGAAATCCCTCTGGAACTTGGATTTCCAGTCAGGATCGCTGAAATCGATGTCCTTGTTGTGGCTCTTGCTCTGAGCGAAGACGACGCGGCTCTTCTTGGCAACTCCATTGGAAGCAGGCAGCCTCAGAGATGGCGAACTCGGATGCGAAAGTCCATGGGAAGCGCGGTGGTGGTGGAGGGCGGCGAGTCTGGGGGCGATCGCAGCATGCGAGAGAGTGCCCATGAAACAGAGATTTCGAGGCGCAGAGAGCTTCGTTTCGATCAATGCAAGTGTTTGGAAGAGTTGCAGAGAGAGAGAGAGAGAGTAAATTAAAGAGAAAATACAAAGTAACGGGGAAGGGGGGGATGCCGTACGAGCTGACTTGGGAAAAGCCTGGGAGAAGTAGGAAAAGCTTTAGTCCAAGCTGTCAAATGTAGGGCCTTGGTTATGGAGAAACGGAGAGAAAGCCTTCTTTTTTTGGCTCTCTCTTTGCCTACCTACCGTCCGCCTTGCCCTTTTCAACGTTTGCAAAATGCCGGCTTTTTGTTTTGTTTTTTTGCTTTTGGACTAAAATAAAATATCCTGGGTTTGATCACTTAGAGCATCTCCACCCACAAGGGCTAAGTCTAAGGCAAATGCAAGTAAGGGCTGCCACTATTCACGTAAATAGTGTCAGCCTTTGCATTTGTGGTTCCACCCATGAGGGCAAAGTCTAGAGCAAGTCTAGGACAATTACTATTCATTGTACTTTATTTCCTATTTGTTTATACTTTAAACTATTAATTTTGATAAGCTTTTTAGATTATATTTTCGGTTGTCACGTGTCACTATTTATTATAAAATTTTCATTTAAAATTTAAGATAACATTTTTCGAATAAAATTTTCAAATAAAATTTTTGGATAAAATTTTCGGTTACCACGTGTCCATATTATATATAAAAAAAGACATTAAATTGAAAAAATGATTTTTTTTTTTTATTTTTTTTATTTTTTTTTTTTTTTTTTAACTCGCTCTCTTTTTTTGTTTTGCATTTGATCTTAATTTGACCTCCGGCTTCGATGGAAGATGACATTTGTATTTTTGCACAAATGAAATTTTGTAGTACAAAATTTGGTGTGGAAAGTGAAAAATATTGGAAGGAGATGAGTTTTTATGAAGATTTGGTGTAGAAAGTGAATAAAATGGTTAGGTATTTATAGGGAAAAAATACAGAATTTTTTGGTATTTAAAAAAAAAATTCAGAATTTTTTCGAATTTTTTGGCAAAAAAAAAAAAAATTTTACTGTGCGCTGACGTCAGCGTGATGCCAGCGCTGACGTCACAAAACTCGAGCTTCAGCCCAGGCAGAAGTTGCCCTTGGGCTTGCTCGGGCTGATGGGACCCACCACGAAACCGGGCTGCTTCTCTTGTGCTGGAGCCATCTCGGGCTCGCCAGGGGGCCCTTTCCCCCAGTTTGGGTCCTGCGCTGGACCTGCTCTTATTGATTTTTTTGTTTTAAAAGAGAAGTAACATTAGACCACAAATTAGTGGGTATATTAGAGGTAGAGTTTAAAACTCATTTTATGGCAAAACACATTATTGAAGTGGAAGCTAGTAAAAAATGGGATAACGGGCAATTATTATACCACTTATAATGCATACCAATATGCGACCTTCGAACTCTAAGAGCATCTCTAAAGGAGATGTCAAATGTAAAATGTCACATTTGAATTTGATGATTTATGTGGCAATTTGACATTTTGGAAAAAAATTAACTCCACATGAAATGCCAAATATCATATTATTTTATTATATTTTTAAAAGCAAATGGGACTCATATGTTGCATAAAGTTTTTAAAGAGAGTAAATGATAGTGGGGTCTATGACTAAAAAAATATTAAAATAATATTTGACATTAAGCTTTTTTATATGTTATTTTTTTTATATATTTTTTCCAGCATTCAAATCCATGTAGGATTTGACTACTCAATTAGAGCAACTTTAACCTACAATTTTTGCCATTTCATATCCCTATTTGACATGTTGGTTGGAGATGCTTTAAAGCAACCATTTGAATGGTCATAAGAAAGTTACAAAAGTCAAGCTGGATTTTTTTACCCCAAACTAACTGTATTCATTTGCATTGTACATGAAAATTTAAAAACCAAATTAACTACTGCTTTGATTTTAGCTATAGTTAAGAAGGAAGAGAGAGAAACTTACACACACAGGTACAATGAGGCTTAAATATGCCCATGACCATTTGGAAGCATACCAAGTTTGAGTCAATCCAATTAATACCCAATTGGTAAAAAATAAAAAATAAAAAATAAAAGTTTAATTATTAGTAAAAAAAAATTATATGAAGCCGTAAAACTTATTTGTACTTTGGCATTGCATGCCCGAGTTGAAAAAGCTGACATATTCATAACTTGTGGGTTATTAATTAATTACAATATTCAACCCTAATTTCCAAAAATATACAATATTCAAGCCAAGAAAGTCCACTGTTTTCTGAAAAGGTGGCACATGACTTTCTCATTTTCTATTCCAAAGAGCACGCTTCGGGTTCGTTGGTTGGCAATCTGACCATGTGAATACCAAACTATGTGGGGTTGTTTGGTGTCTTTTACATAATGCCAAAGCTGCTTAGCTCAACTGCTCAAGCTTGTATTGATTTCCACTTTGCTCCATTTCTCTTTAAAAACATATTGGTTTGAATTGACTTAAAGCGGGCAGTGCTAATACCATATCGACACAACCGAAAACTGTTTGGTTGGTAAGAAAATCTTGAGAAAATGATGTTTGATTTACCCCTCCAAATCAATTTTGTAAATAGTGAAACTGAATGATTCAATAATAAGGCAAAGAAATGATATTTGACGTGCTGCTAATTTGTCTCATTTTGTGGCATCTGTAGTTTAGAGGACAACAATACTTTTATAAGATTAATTTGAGTTCAAATTTACTAAAAAGAAAAATAAGATGAATTTGAGTTGACAAAAACCATACAATAATTGCGTAGATGGGTTGGTGTGCTTGTAAACGTAAGCCTAACAAAAATAGGATTTATGGAGTGGACTCCATGGATGATAGGGTTGGAATCAGCCTCTAAAAGACATTTGTTAATTGGATCCATCACCCCCTTCACTATCAAAGCCATAAGTATAAAAACATAACTCCATTTAAATTATGATTACACGTAAGTTTATCCCGGAAATATGATGGATTGCATTAGGACATAAGGAAGCATAATTTCTTGAATATGCTCGAGTTTTATTCTATACATACCACCACATATGCAATTGTTAAAATTTTAATTTGCTAACCGATCGCTCCCTCTAACTTAAGTTCTTTTGCTCCCCAATCTTACTCTTCTAAGATTGGCATGGGTAATTAACTCCATCATTTGTTTTTCTTTACAAGTTTCTCACACAAAAATTGCTTTGGATCTCATGTTCAACTTATGCCTCTTGAAGAGGTATGGGAAGGATGATTTATCTCTTATATACGAGTTATCTTTTTGTCCACGGTTCTAATATATTTTTTTGGTCAATCAATGTTCATTAAAACCCCAAAAATGGGAAGAAAACAAATAGAGAATACAAGGGCCAAGAAGGCCAAATGCAGAAATAAACATAAGCACAGGGAATATTAGACTAAAAACCAGTACAGTCTAGTATAACAAATCTTCCCCACACAAAATCAAAATAAAATACAAAATAGAGCCACCGTCCCTGCAAAGGCACCGGAGGCCGCACCAATATGGCCACAAGGACGAGATTCACATCCTCCACACTAGACAGCATAGCTGCACATAGAGACCCACCGATCTTACGCCAAGAATAAAATTCCCCCATAAATAGAAAAACATCAGCACATGAGCATTCTTCCAAGAGTCACCTTCTGCTTCACACCCGAGTCCGCATGTGCACTAAGGAGAAAATAGGAACCAATCACAACAACACCATGGTATATACCAAAGGATCGAAATCATTGTCTCCTCCTTGGTGAAGCTCTTGAATCAACCCTAGAGGTGCCAAAATTTGTAACCATAGCACTTATACTTGTGGATATGTTGATTCTAATTGCATTAATGTGCAGATAAAAGTAAGTATTTTTGTGTGTATGTTAATGAGTTGTTAAGAATATAATTACACAATAATAAACTTAATTAATGGTTCAGATTCATTTTATTTTTATTCAAGCACTTCAACTTACATCAGCCCAAGGGAAGGGTAACTATCCATAGGCCCATCACGTGTGTGAGTTGATTATGCTTCAAGACCAACCCAACATTTGATTCCTTCCAAGTAAAGCAGTTTTTTATTTTGAGAAATAATCTCCCTTTTCTTATTCCCCAACACAACCAAATTACCGCTTAATTTGAGTTCAAACTTAAAAAAAATAAAATTAGAGCCAACAATACTTTTATAAGAATAATTTGAGTTCAAACTTAAAAAAGAAAAATAAGATGAATTTGAGCTGACAACAACCATATAAATAATTTGCGTAGATGAATTGGCATGCTTGTAAACGTAAGCCTAACAAAAATAGGATTTATGAAGTAGACTCCATGGATAATTTACAAGTTTCTCCCACTAAAATTGCTTGACTACGTTTGTATCTCAAGTTCATCTTATGCCTCTTGAAGAGGTATGGGAGGGATGAGTTATCTCTTATATACGTACGTGTTATTTTTTTATTCACGGTTCTAGTTTTTTTTTGCTACAAAAATGAAGGTTCATTTCATAAACATGGGGCAATTACAGAAAGTTGAGCAGCAAATTCACCCCCAGTGGCCAGAAACAATGAGCCAAAGAAATTGAAACAGAAATATCGGCTCATTAGAAGCCATAAACATACAAAACCATCACATCATCAAAACCATTTGCCCAAATAGAGCCTAGCTACCGGCACTGTTAATGAGTTGTTAAGAATATAATTACACTATAATCAACTTAATTAATGATTTAGGTATCTTAAACACTGATATTATGGAGAGAGAAAAAATGTGAATTAGTATTTCGCAATATTCATAGGCCCGTCATGCGTGTAGGTTGATTATGCTTCAAGACCAACCCAAACATTTGATTCCTTCCAAGTAAAGCAGTTTTTTTATTTTGAGAAACAATCTCTCTTTTCTTATTCCCCAACACAACCAAATTACCTTCCAGTAATTTTTAATTTGTGCTGAGATATTTGGCGCCAAAATAACGTCTCTAACGGCCATTTCTCACTAAGGCAACCCAACTTATGTCGTCTTCATTCCAACCACAAATGTCTAAACCACAGGTCCCATTCACAGCAGTCCCAATCGCTCTGCTAGGGTTTAAAATGGGTTGATTTGAAGCACAAGAAGACATGTAACATAGCACAAGACACAAAGTACAAAGTATGGACCAGCAAGGAAAATGCAACAATTCAGATATACTAGGTTCCTTTGATTTCCATGCTATTTGGCTATCAAATTCTTAGTTTTTCATGTGCTCTTCTTGTGGATCTTATCCAACTTCGGTGACCCTTTCGTGGGTTTTGCAGATTTTTCGACGCTGCATTCGAACGAGGCCACGAATTTAATCAACAGCACCGATGCTTGGCTGGTGACACATAAAGAACTAATCCCCCTTATTATTTGTTATTGAATTCGTTTATGCTAGTTAAATTTGAGTACATTGTTTAATTTCATCATGTAGTAATGTAGTTGTGTTATGGTATAGTTAAATGAAAAGCCTGGGGCCTTTATCTCAGAAGAAGAGCTGAAGATTCGGAGTGAGGTCGAGATGGATATAGAGAGAGACTTAGAGGAAGAAATCAAAGATGGAATCTGCCATCTTGCTCTGAGATTGCACAGGCTTTATCAACACCAAAAGGAAAGAAGATCAACTTCTGCTGCTGGAGATGAAAGAAAGATGAAGAAAGCATTTTGTGAGGTGAATATAAACATAAAAATGGAAGGAGGAACCAAGATTGAAATAAAAGAGACCAAGAAACCAGCACCTCCTGATCAAAAGGGTAGTGGTCCTAATTGGTCTGGTTCAAGATCAGAAAATTATATGCAACCATTTGTGAAGATGCATAGAAATTCCAAGAAGTTTGATTGGGCCAAAACACTGAGGTCAAATATTGGCCCTGTAGCCTTCACAAAGAAACAATGGCAGCCCACATGAACTTGTTAAGGGGCTTGACAAAGCAAGCATACACACAGGGTACTGATAACGGCTTCTCTCAACTGGGATGGAAAGTTAGAGATTGTTTTGGTTTGTTAAGGGTCTGGACTTGAGGTCTCTTTGACATGACAATAATATCAGTGCTGTTGGGAAGTGCTGATGAGACCTGTGATTTTCATATAAGACATATAAATAAGTTGTGGAATGTTATATATGTAAACTCAATTTCCAAAAAAGAAGAGGAAAAATAAAATTTGCAATGTAAACTACTTTGTTTTTGTTTTTAATTGAAGATAGAGAAGCAACCAGAGAAGAGTAAATGGATATTCGTAATTCTAGTGGTCAAGAGTATTTATTCGTAGATTCATTGTATGCAGAATATAGTCGTGGACTAGTCAGGTTTTAGCCGACTTAATATTTTTCCTCCCCTCTAAATATTAGCCCATATCTTCATATCCCAACCCATAATATTTTTAATATTTTGAAATACATTTTTGTTTTATAAATGGGGATAAAGATATCTTCCAATATTTACTGATCATCATACCAACCTATAGTTGATATTATTTGACCTACTTACTTTCACACCAAGAAGGGGAAACAAGGCATCAATTCGTGAAGGTTTTATGCCTGTGGCCCAGCAATATTTTGTGTGCCTGAGTGAGTAGTGGCCCTAGTGGGTTGTCTCACATTCACATAAATACATGAGCTCCATAATTCTGTGTTGAGTTGAGTGAATTTGAATTTATTAAAGGATCTGTCATTAAAATGGTCCACAAAGACAGGCATTATTAATCAGAGTCATTCTATAGTATATGAAGAACTATCTCTTGACCGTTGGATCAAATTAATTAATTTAATTCAACGGCTAATTAATTTGATTCAACTGTTAAAATATAGGGTCTCATATAAGGATCTCGCTATAGAATTCTACCTATTAATCAACCAAGTCAAAACAATAAATGAATTATTAATTCCTTTTTATAAATTAAAGGCCCCTTTGCTAACTATTTCAGTTTTCATTTTTAGTTTTCATTTTTTGTGTTAGAGTATAGAGGAAAATGAGATTGAGAATGGGAATGAGGATGAGATTGAAATTGTTTTCCGTTTCAAGTTTTTGTTTGTACTTTTGTAACTCCTCCCTCCTTCTCATCATCCCCTCTCAATCTCATATCTACTCTCATTCTCACTTCCATTCTTCCTCTTTTTCCTCTATACTCTAGCACAAAAAATGAAAACGAAAATGAAAATGAAAATTGAAATGGTTATCAAACGGGCCCTAAGTAAATGTCATATTATTCGAAAACATTATATATTGTTAAAGACACACACATAAGGGTGCAATGAAGATTCAAATCCGAGATCACCGGTCTACAATTCAATGTCATTTTTCACTAGATTAGACCCCGTTGGCATCAAACTATCAAAATAAATTATTAATTATGTGTATTTTTTATTTCTTGATATGAAATATTGAGGTTCGAACTTAAAATGTAATTCAACTCACCCAACTAAACCAATTATTAGTTTGTATATTAATTAAAATGAACATTTCCTGCAAAATCCTAGTTGGTATCTTATTAATTGTGTAGGTAGACATGATATTAAATATGTTTTCAAAGACAATGAGGGTGTGGGCCTGGCATCTCCCCAAGACATTAGTAGTAGAATCACACCAAAAGTTGAAAACATCAAAACTCTTTGGAGGTTGGATTGAGTAGGGACAACAAATTTAATTGGTCAGGCAGACCAGAGGCCCCCAGATTTAGAATTGGTGTGTACCATTGAATGGTCTTAATCGTTTGACTGTCAAAAAGGTATCATCAAATCTAATGTATATATCAGGTGCCAATGCCGAACCCAACTTCCTTTCAAACTTTTAAATCTTACAATCCTCTTCAAGGTTTTGCACAATCCTCTTCAAGGTCTTGCTTTCCAAAGTTGGATCATCCAAAAGAATCTTATCAGGCCCCCTCCCTCCTCTTCACCTTCTCCTACAATGTCTTATTTCTGCTCCTCGACTCATCTATGACTCTATGCACGTATAGTTGTTAGGTTCACCGACTGAACTTCTTGGTAAGTTTATTCCCATGTCTAATCGCACAAGATGGCACGTACACGTTGAAACATGTAATATGCCGGCCAGGTGTCGCAATGTATGTTCAAAGTCCCAAGAGTGAACAATTCAGTCAACAAAAACTAATCCAACCATTATTGGCAAGTCAGTTATCAGCTTTACTAATTTTGACCATGAACCAAAATTGATATGATGATGACCACCAAGTTCTAGGGTTTAGGCATAAAGCTAGCTAGAATTTCATTGAAGTGCCTAAAGCAGCAGCTAATTCCTTGTATAAGACAACAAGTTTCCTTCAAGGTTGCGAATATTGCTTGGTCATTTTTAATCTAATCACACTCTTGTCTGTCTGCATGAATGTCAGATCAGGAAAATCGATTTGCTTAGCCGAAAGTGCAACCCATTCCCCCATGCTTATGAATTGATGCTTGTTAAATCATCTATCCATCTTACAAACAAACTGCTCAAAGCAACAAAGTTTTTTTTTTGTCCTTTTCTTCTTAACGCCAACAAGAAAGAAAATTACGAAGAGAAACCCGAGAAACTCCTCATTGTTATAGCCACATGAAAGCCTACTAAAATTGTAGGCAGATGTAAAATTCCAGCACAAAATGTTCAAAGATTTAGAATTAAGTCACCCTTTTGTTTTTGTGTTTGGGCAAGAAAAGGGTTTGATGAGCGCACCGGCCCTTTTTCGAGGTAGCAGAAATGACAACATGGGAATCAGAAAGCAGGCTAGGATTCTCAAATTCTAATACAGTTGCTCAAAGTACAATAAATACATGGAAATTCTTATCCAATTTGCATGAATTCAATTCTATCTCTGCAAGCCCTTGCATCTTTTGATGAGTTTGATCCCAAAAAGACTCTATAGCCATAAATAACTTGGGGATTTTAACCGCAATCGTCCTGAACTTATTTCCGAATTTTATTTTAATCATTCCACTCGTTTTTAAGTCATTTTAGTCCCCCAACTCTCACGCATATTCTAATTTAGTCATTCCATAACATTTTCTTTTCGGTTTTTAGATATCTAAATTGACGGTTTTAAGCTTCAAATAGTCGGAAAAATTCACAAAATTTGAAGGAATGACTAAATTGGAACACGCTGGAGAGTTGGTGACTAACTCAAAATGAGTTGGAGAACCAAAATGAATCTCGGATATAAGTTCATGGATCATTACGGTTAAAACCCTAAAAATTAATAGACCATTGCAACAACTTAATCCATTGAAGACATATTACAACTCTAGATCTTTAATTAATTGCAAAGTTAACCACATTAGTTTCACAGCAGATTTCCAGTTAATATGTGATGACTTTTGGACCAGAAGTTCCCTACTTGGCTGAACTTTGAATGTGCATAGGAGGAAGAAAAGACAGTCCATGAAAAATGAAGCATATTGACAAGGGGATGGATTATGTAGGATGATTTACAACTGTCTGAATCTGCTAATTTGAACTTTGACCAGATTTCCCAATAAGTCCATGGACCACAATGCAGCTTTAACTGATGTTGGGGTTCCACCAAAACAAGTAAAGCATCTTCAAGGATCTCATCTAGGTAAGCTTGGACTCTCACAAGAAGAAAACTTCCAACAAAAGTTTTATATACATATGTATATATCTATATCTTTCTTGCTAGTAAACTTGAGACATCAAATGCTAGAAGTAGAACAAGTAAAAGGACCCAAGAACAAGCACAGCTCACAATTTCAAACCCTGAAAATGGAATTTGGTCCTCCTGAAAAATTAAGCTGAACCATGACTATACTTTACAGGCTGAGCCAGTCAGATTTGTTAATTAATTACCACAGTTAAACACTAATTAAAGAAATAATTAAACTTCAATAATCTTAGATGGGTGTGTGTGTGTTTATAGTAGAGAATTAGAGGAAGATTTAGAAAGATTCTTGGAAAGAATGCTATCAACCAACCCTAAAAGATCTGCAGTTGAGGGAGCTGCAGACAAAAGCTCTGTGTCCCCCTCCCTCTTGTGTACATTTATTAAGAGTTTTTTTTGCTGCTGGGAGTGCGCCCACATGTTCCCTTTGAAGCAGATCGTTGAAATTTGGAAAAAGATAGAGAAATTAATAAAACGAAATATATATATATATATAATATTTATATCTGCAGATAGATAGAGACCAAGTTTTGGATCTATCGACTTTCTCTCCAACATGGACTGAACCCACATTTTGGACTTGAGTTTCCATGAAAACAAAAACTACTGTTTCTCTAGCTGATATATCTTCTTTCCCAAGAGAAAACAAAACAGTAGAAAAATGAATAGTATAATAATAATAATTATTATTATTATTTAACAACAAAATCAAATAATTGAATGACTTTGAGCTCTTTCTTTTCCTTCCCAAGGTGACCCCATCAGGTCAGGGATATCAAACATCTGGGTTCTACCCTCTACACCAGACAAGCTCCATCATATGATTACATGGATCAAAGAAACCAACCTCATAAAATACTCTAAATTTTTCAAAAAGAAAGAAATTCATGGATATCAATAAATATTATATATATATATATATATATATTCTGCACTCATTACTGCAAAAGTAAAAGCAGTGTTTGCAATGCAAGAAAGAGCAAAGACAAAAACTTGGTAGCAGAAAGAAACAGACCAGAGAATATGAAAGCTAGGTCCCAAAGATCATCATCCCTTTTCAACTCGGGTTGGGTTCATCATTTGAAGGCCCTTCAGAAGAGCATAAGATCCAGACAAAGAGAAAAGAGAAAAAATTAAATTAAGCAGTGAAAAAAGGAAAGAGAAAAAGTACTGATCATTGAACTACAGCATCTCATACAATTAATGCTTCTCAACATAAAATCCACAGAGTCTGAGATTCGTGGACGAAAACAAAAAGGCATGGGATTGAAGGGAAGAGAAGTAAATGAATGACACAGAAACGTACAAACAAACGCATGTAAAAAAAAATAAAATAAAAGAGATGGTATATATAGAAAACGGAAAATGCAGCATGGATCGCACAAGTCTTATTATTAAGACCACACAAAGCCTACGAACAGATGGTCCTCCCTCTATACTCCATGATGATCATAACCAACAGCTAAACACTGCAAACTCATCAACATTGATCAACCCATTTAATTAAATTAGTAGGATGATTAAGCAAAGATATATGATTAATATATTTTACATGCACTAATTAATGAAATGATCAAATGGGGCACATTCACAACAATGAGAGAGATTTCACACTCATCTAAATCAAGTGTTCAAATAACATGGATGATGATCACTACACTAGTCAATAAATTTAAGAAAAAAAGATTAAAAATAAAAAGAAACCCTAATTAAAACACTAATTAAAATCCCGGAAAAGCAGTAGAATTTCTCAACAAAGTCAGCTGCAGGCACATGATGATGATTTTTGTTCCTGATCAGTTTCGCCACCTTGACCAGAAGAAAATTACCTCTAGCTGATAAATCCTACTACAACTGCTAGAGCTAGCCAAGTGTTGTCCTAATTAAACTAATAAGTACAAAAGATCCAGAAGATCGGTCGACTGAGAGAGAAAGAGAGAAATGATGAGATGAACATGACCAAGAATGATGATATACTTGTGGGTTTTGGGTTGTTTTTCATGTTCATTGTCTTCCTTGTTCTGGGTTTGTTTGGTTTCTAGCTTAACAAGCATGATCAGCTAGCTAGGGTTTCTTACCCAGAGTGTGCTTGTTGTTATGCATCCAAACCTTGAGGACGTGACGCTTCACTCCAGTCTCGTTGCAGAACTGCTGAATCGCCGGCTCGTCCTGCTTCTGAATCCTCCACCCCAGCGTCTCCGCCAAACTCAACATCCTCTCCTTCTGCTCCGCCGTAAACTTCGTCCTGAACCTCTTCTTCCCGGAAGACGCCGTTCCATGTAAACCCCCTCCCATTCCCAAATCCCCTCCACCGCCGCCGCCTCCGCTAGGATTCGACATGTCATCCTCCTGCTCCTCCCCCCTGCTATGAGTCCCGCCCCCTCCCGACGTCGACGGCAGCGCCAGCGGCCTGTGGTGCGGCGCCACGTGGAGGTACCCTGCTGGCGTACGGTAGTACGGCGAGAACTGCGGGTGGTTGTGCTGCCCGTGGAGCGGCACCAGCTGCCCGTACGGGTCTGCGGTCATGAGCGCGAGCCCGCCCGGGTCGCCCTCCTTGCGGTGGAAGTTGCGATGGCAGTTGCAGGCGGCACATTTTAGCGCGTCGAGCGTGCCCTCGGCACCGGCCGGCATGAACTCGCCGCAGCCGTCGAGCGCGTGGCCTCCAATCCCGACCGCGTGGTTCTTCAGGCACTCTCTGTACCTCGCGGCGCCCTTCCTCTGCTGCTGTTGCTGTTGCTGTTGCTGCTGCTGCTGCTGAGACGCCGCCGCCGCCGCCGCTATTGCTGCTACGCCCTCGGGTCCAGAACTCGACATTTTGACCCGGACGCCACCCGCTGAGTTTCCGAGCGAGTCGTAACTCGCCGCCATCTCCATCTCTTCGTCATGCTCCTCTTGATCCTCGAACTCCATATCAATTAATTAAGGGGAACCAAAAACGAAAAACCCCCCAGAAATTAATGAATCAGAGAATCAACCCAGAAAGAAAAACCCAAAAAGAAGAAAGAAGAAGAAGAAGAAGATAACGAGGACTGAGTTTAGAGAGAGAGTGTTTTTGAGTATGTGTCAGGTGTAAATTTGTAGTGTTATCTCTCCTCTCACACTCCTCCTCAACTTAGCCTTTTTTTTTTTTTTTTTTTTTTTTTTGTTTTTGACCTCAACACTTAGCTTAGCTCCCTGCAAAAGGAGCTTTGTCCACCTTCAAACCCCCTTCATATACTTTCCCGTTTTCTCAACCCCCACCGGCCACTCCCGGTTAAACCGGTCATTTTCACCTTCTGTCTCAGTTTTTTCACCGCGCGGTAAATTTCAGAGGTGGAGAGAGATGGGATTGGCAGTGTCAGACTGCCACTGCTACTAGTACGAGTCTGAAAACAAAAAACAAAAAAAACAAAAAACAAAAAATGAAATGAACGGAAAAGGCAAGGGATTTTATTATTATTATTATTTTTTCTGAAGTGCCCCACGCGCCCGGCAGCAAGAGAGGTGGTGGCGGCGCGTGAAGTGTCAAGTACTGTGGCAGAGGAGAGAGAGAGAGAGGGGGATGGTGATTGGGTGCGTGTGAGTATGTGTCAGGACACGGCATTACTTAGGAAAAAATAAATTGTCGGCATTTAAGGCAGCTGGGGGTACGTGCTCTCGTCTCCGACATGCGTGACGCGCTTTTTGGCGTCAAAATTCCATCTTTCTTATTCAAATATTTCTTTTCGTGTCTCATAAAAGGAAGTGAATATTGGGTGCGTTTTTTGTAAACATACCCACTCTACAGTTTGGTGTTGTGGGGACTTTTCTTTTTTTTTTTTTTTTTTTTTTTTTTTTTTTTTTTTTTTTTACTGACTAGAATAATGTTGGTCTTAAAAAAGAATGTCTTTTTCCATCCCAACACATAATCGTTCTTTTCTCTACACAACAACGACAACGAGATGAAATTAGTTTTTAGTTATTCCAGAAAAAGTAGATTATATATTTTTTCCACATCTTTTTTAACCTACTTATTCCAAAAGTGTTACAGCAAAATCCTTATTTGAACGATTCGCTAGGACAATTTGTGTATTGTTTTTTTCTTAAGCTTATGTTGAATAGCCAATAAATAATTTGGTGCATTTTTCCCAGAAAGTTTCTTAAAAGAAAAAATTCAATCTCAATATGATCACTTTAGGGGTCAAATCGTTGTTCCATTACTTAGTGTACTTCCACTCATTTGTCATGACAAATGACAAGAAAGTGCAGTTACTGTTTACGCGAATAGTATATGCCATAGCATTTTCTTTTCCCAACTATTGTTATAACAACTGAAAGGTAATTACTATTTACATGGGATTAATTTTATTTATACATATGAGATTAATAAATAAAAAATTGCTAAGTATTTGTATTTAAAAAAACTCAGAATCTTTGGTATCTTTTCAGAATTTTTTTCAATTTTTTTTTTCTGTGATGTCAAGTTGGCGTTAGCGCCCGCGGGCAAGAGGTCAGGTTGATCTTGTCTTGGGCCTTGCCCGGGATTGGTGGACCCCATGTGTTGCCAAGGCAGTAACAAACCATTGGAGCTAGTTTTGGAAGCCTAAAGGGGCTTTTGTCTGGGTTGAGCTCACCGTTGAAAATACTCTTAGAAGAGGACTATAAGTCGTCTCGTTACAGATCTCGAGTTTGAATTAAGCTTGGCTTAAATTTAGCTCGTCTAAACTCAACTCGTAACATAAACAAGTCAATCCGAGCTTGGCTCGTTTAAGAAACAACCAAGCTTGAGATTTGGTATATTTGGCTGATAAAGTTGAGCTCAAAGATCCTTTATATGAGCATTGTATTATTCGATTCGGCACACTGCTGAGGCTTGTGAGTTATGTTATGGTTGCCTGCCGCCACCCACGACTTTAGAAAATAAAAAATAAGGGTAGAAATAGTATGGTGACGAACAACAGAACGACAAAGATGGTGAAACATTCGTGCATACTAAGATGAGTGGGTTGTAATTTTCAAAAGGTTTGAAATTAATAATGAGATTAGTGGAGTAGCAAATGATTTCACTTGTAGCTAGGATATTGCCACTTTTATAGTAGTAGTATTAAAATGTGTTAAACCCTAATCATCAAAATCCAATTCACAACACGTGCATGCACAGTGCACATCACAAATGACTGATATATAACTCAACCAAAAATAATAATAATAATAACATTGTTAATTTAAGAAACCATGAGTCAAATATAATGTATGATCGAGGAAGAAGTTCGAATTTTTTTTTAAAAAAAATTGTCGGAACTAAAGTTCATCCATAAAAGGGCGTAAATGTACAGCATAAAAATAAGATTCAACAAATTGAGCTCAGCATCAATGCAATATGAATTAGAATCCAATTATAATATGAATTAGATTGGATTGGATTGAATTTTCGACCGAAAACAAGAAGGTTAATGAGAAAACTCATAAAATAAAAACTTTTGAGAAAATGAAAAATGAAAAAAAATAGGAAAAAAGAAACTAGCAAAAGTAAATGGGCGCACGTATAATGGCTTATGGCTGGGAGAGTCGCTGTTGTCCTTTTCGGGGTTGAGAAAACCATAAAAACCAGTATAATTGGTGATGGCTGGCAGTCTTATCACATGAAAATCAGAAATGGCACTGATTGTATTATTGTAGGGGGGAGCTTTGAAGAAACTCATCCGCCCAACGCAAAGCAATGCCTTCCCTGTGGGGGTCTGGCTGGTTGCTGTCTTTGAGTTTCAGCTAACACCTCCACATCCATCAAAATGCTTTTGACCATTACCAAATTGACACCTCTTTTGTGTACCCTCCTCCTCCCTGTCCCTGTGACCTTTGATCCGACTGCATGCCCGCCAATTGCCTAATTTTCATGAATGTATTGTCAAATCTCTCTTCTTGAAGAAACAACTTGACCATTTTTAGTTTTTAAGAGAAAATGAAACAAAAGGAAGAATGCTCATCACTTTAGTTTTCAAGTGTCATTTCATATCATTATTCTAAATTGGGGATTTTATGGCCGAAATGGAATTCAACAGTTGACATCAACTACCCTTATACATGGACCAAAATAAATATAAAAAAATTAAAAACTACCCTTAGAGCACTTCTGCTTATTTATCATAGTAAAGGGTCAGGGCGAGTAAGGGAGATTGTTGTTCACGTGAATAGTATCTGCCTTAGCAATTTTTTGTTTTTGTTTTTCACCTATTGCCATGGCAACCCAAGGATAATTACTGTTCATATGGGGTTAATTTTATTTATACGTTTGATATTAATAAATAAAAAATTACTAGGTATTTATTTTAAAAAATTTTAAACTTTTTTATTTGCTGGCATCAGCGCCTGTATGTAGTAGGTCAAAATTACTAGGTGTAATTTTTGTTTGGGTCAAAATTATGTTGTAAATTGAACAATAGTTGATGGAGAAATTTGAAGAGAGAGGTAACATCATATTCAAATGATTTAGGAACTTTATTGATACCAAAGTGCGGGATGAAACATAATAGAAAATTGTGATAACAAATAAGAAAATATCATGTTTAAAAATAGTAAAATTATAAATTGTATCAAATTAGGCCAAATTGAACCGAACCAAATCAAATGTTACATTTGCTTTTCGTGCGAAAGTGGAACCAAATTTATTTGAAGAATTTAATTTAGCCCATTTAAACTTTTTTCGAACCTGCTACCAAATATATATCACATAAAGTCAAATCAAAATGACAATAAAGAAAACTTAAAATGAGATATATAATATATATGTATCTAAGACCACATTTTTAAAAAAGAAAGAAAAACCTCTATAAAAAAAAAACTCTAGCCGCACTCTGGTCTCCTTTCTCCTTGCCGACAACCAACCGCAAGGAAGCTAAGGGGAGAGGTGGCCACTGCCCCTTATCCCTCGCCCATCTTCCCCTTCCTCTCCTAATCTCTCCTTTTTTTTCTCCCATCTTTTCCTTTCCTCTTATCCCTTCTTCTCATTCTTCAGTCTAAATTTGTTTCGATCTAGGTATGTTTGTTTGTTTGATTGTTTTTGCAGTTTTCTAGGTGGCCAATGTTGTCTTTGTCTTGACAGCAGCGACAGTAGTGACGCTGGATTGTGTCTCTCCTTGGGAGAGTTGTGATATCTGGTGGCTAATGTTTTGTATATGTTTCAACGGCGGCCCGCAGTAGCAACGACGTTAGTGGTAATTCTTGGGATGTGGTGCTCTTCTCTACTCTGCGCCGACCAAAGTACTATGTTCCGTCAAAGCTCATAGGAGGTTTTCTTTGTCCGGTTTTGAGTTGAAGTGAAGTACTTCTCAGTGGTCCTTTTATTGTTGTTTATGTGGTGACGCTGGATTGTGTCTCCTATTGGGAGAGTTGTGATAGCTAGTGGGTGATGTTTGTCTCTGTTTCAATTGCGGCGGTAGCAGTGACGCTGGTGGTAGTTGTTAGGATGTGGTGTTTTTCTCTACTCTGCACCAACCAAAGAAATATGCTTGGTCATAGAAGTTTTTCTTTGTTCGGTTTTGAGTTGAAGTGGAGTGCTTCTTGGGATCCTTTTACTATTGTTTGTGTTCCTCCTGCGTGTTCTCTTATGATTATGCTGCTATTGGTATGCATTGCAATTTATGTGGGTGTTAAATTTTTTTTTTTATGATAAATTGCTCATTTTTTTTTTTTTTTCTTTTTTTTTTTTTTTTTTTTTTTTTTAAAAAAAAAAAAAAAATTGGGATTTTGCGGTTTTTCTTCTCATGTGGGTCTACTGTGTTAGTCTATAGTTGTGATTCTTGTCGGAGGTCTATGTGTTAGTTTTCGTTTTGGATTTGTTCTTTTATTGTTATGGTTCAAAGTGACCAGAATCAGACTCTCTTGTTAGTCCAAAACATGTGCAGTACTCTTTTCTCCCATGGGGATTGTCCTATAAGGTTGTACTATGAAGGTTT